GATGGTCGCCGCCCTGCCATGCCCTGCCTGCGCTCCGCGAAGCTGCTCGCTTTAAGCCAATTCGTCCGCGGGGCTCTAGAGAAAAGGGGGGGGGGGCTGGTCGCGGGGAGGTATCAGCCGAGGCAGGCTGGCTGGCCCACGATGACGATGATGAGGAGGAGGTCGTAGGCAGGCCGGTCATTGTACCAGGGCCGAATGAAGAATGGGGGAATTACTGCGTCGTTGCACGGCACTGGCTCGGCACGGCTCGGCGTTGCCGCACTGGTGCGGGTGAGGGCGAGTGCGCGTTCGATCTAGTGGATTATGCGGTGCACGTCGGGCGCGAAGATTGCCCCGCGTCGCCTGGCTTGACCGCCATGAATGGCTGCGCGGCCTGCAGACTGACTCCGAGGGTCGTTGTCGCTGTCTCTCTCGCACCTGTTGGGGACGCCCTGTGAGTGCGAGAGAGACAGAGGTGACTCTCGGAGGGCGACTGCGACGGACGCGATGGATGGGCGGCGACCTTGCCGCCGTGCATCCTTCCAGGCCTTGCAGACCTTCCAGACCGGCCGGCCCTTTAAAACCTGTTGCTGTTGTTGACGTCTCGCGGCCCGGTCGGCGCGCAGAGCGGCGCAGAGTCAGTCCGGGGAGGACGCGCTGCAGTTGGCCTGCAGCTTCGGAAATGGGATTCTCTGCTCGGGCGGCGACACGACGACAGCCCGTCTGGCGGCCAGGCCGATGCCAGGCCGATGCCAGGCCGAAGCCAGGCCGGGCCCTCCGCCCTGCCAGAGTGCCCCGCTGCCGCGGTGCCGCGCGTCTCATACCTTTTAGGCCCCTAATCCGAACCTGTTCGCCTGGAGGGGGAGGGGAGGGGGGCACCGACCCAGAGGCCCCGGGCGGGGCGGGGCGGCCGGGGAGCGCGGCGCGGCGGCCCGTGGAATGGAGGAGCCCCGCCAGTGCCGCGCCGGCCGTCGACGAGACTGCGCGTTGTCGCGGGGGTCGCACCGTGACGTGCCGTGACGCGCCGTGACGCACGCGAGTGACATGTGATACCACAGTGCCATGGTGGAATGAGATGTGATGCTGCAAGAGTTGTGGTGGTGGCTGCCGGCGGTCTTGGTCGTGTGGTTCGGCGTGATGCTCTCTCGGTCCAGCGGGCCGTCGCCGTCGTCGTCCAAGCCACAGCAGCAGCAGAGGCAGCGCGCGCCCGCAGCGGGTCCCCTCGCTTTGATGCCGTCAAAGATGGAGGGCGATCCCGGTGCTGCCGTCGCCGAGCCCGAGGGCAAGCCCGAGGGCAAGCCTGAGCCCGACGCCGTCCTCACGGCCCTCACTGGCAGCGCTTTGGCGACAAAGTGCTGCGGCAGTGGCAGGCCGGGGGCGCCGGCCGTCAAGACGGTGCGCTTCGCCATGGACTTGATGGGCGAGGACGTGGTGCACGTCGTGGAGGACGTGAACGTGGACCCCTGGGGCGGCGAGGACGACGAGGACTCGTCCAGCGAAGACGAGCTGGACTTTTCGTATCAAGTGAACCGCCAGGACGATGACGATGATGACGAGGACGAGGAGGATGATGACGATGAAGTGCGGGACAGCATGCTGCACGAGGCCAAGACGGACTTCAGCGAGGGTTACGACGAACCTGACTTCGCGTCCAGGCTGAGGGGAACTTCGTGCTCGCCGCCCGTGGCCGAGAAGCCCCTCGAAGAAGGCCTGCAGCGCGAACTGGCGCACAGTGCGTCCCCCAGCCCCAGCCTCACATTCGCCACTTTCGGCAAAGCCCCGCTGCCACGGCCGCCGCCGCCCTCCCCGCCCGCGGCGGCTCTCCCGCCCCCCGAAGGATTCCGCGACCGACTGGCCCGTGTGGCCGCGGTCCCGCCCCCGCTGCCCCCGCTGCCCCCGAAGCATGTGGCGCCGCCCGCGGTGAAGAGGCCGCCGCCGCCCCCGCCGACGCTGCCCCCGGAACTGCCGCCCAAGCGCCCCGTGCCGCTGCCTCGCGCCGCCAGCGTGCCGGGCGACACCACCGCCGTCGTGAGGGTGTTCGTCCCGGCCGTGCCACCCCCGCTGCCCCCCGTGCCGCCCCCGAACGCGGCCGCCGCCGTCGCGCCCCCCGCACTACCGCCCAAGGGAGGGCCCCGCGCCAAGGCCGTGGCTGACAGGCAGACGCGAGTGCCCGCCAGGCCGAAGGTGACCGGCGTCGTGGCGAAGAACAACTCGCGGACGCAGCAGCAACAACAGCAACATCAACAGCAGCAACAGCAACTCAAGCTGCGCGAGTTGATCGCGCGCTTCGACGCGTGCTACACTGCCACAACGGAGAGGCCGTTGACGAAGAGGGCCTCGTCGACGGACAGCGGCATCGACGTGTCGCCCGAGCCCCACCAGCAGGACAACGTGACCCTCATCCAGCTCGGCTCCAGCGACTCGGGGGCGTCGTCGTCGGACGAGGGTGGCGGCAGCGGCAGCAGCGGGGGCAGCAGCAGCGGCAAGTGCGACTCGGTGTTGCTGCTGACGCACTCGGGGCCCTCGTCGTGGGAGGAGCATGCCGCCCCCGTCGCGCCCGCCCCCGCCCCCGTGGTGGAAAGGCTGGTCAGCTTCTACCAGAACGCGCCGCCCCCCGTGGCGGCGGCCCCCAACGCCGCCAGTGCCCCCAGCCCCAAGCTGACCCCCGCCCTCGGACGGCAGCAGCCCGACTGGAGCAGCAAGGCGAGGCCCAGCGCGCCGCCACCCGCGCCTCCAACCGCCGCCCTGGCCGCCTCCATCGTCAAGAAGGCCAAGGAGAAGTTCGAGGGCCTGGACAAGATGCAGCAAGACGCGCCGGCGCTGCGTCGCCGCGAGCCCCTGCTGCTCGACGGCGTCCTGGCGGCGCGGCGACGGCTGCACGAGGACGCCCCGACGTACCGGCGAGCCGTGTCGGACCTCTCGGAGCGCGACCTCAAGGGCCTGGAGCTCAAGGGCCTGCACAACCTACAGGGCCTGCAGCGGACGTCCACGCCCGGCACCATGTCAGCGCGGCCCAGCCGATACAGCGCGGCCGACGTTGAGGTACGCCGAGGCGAAGCGCCGAGCGCGGAGCTGGCGGAGTCCGCCCGGCGGACCGTTACACCGGCAGGGCAGGGCACCGACGGGGCAGGGCCGAGGCAGGGCCCGACGGGGCCGCCAGACGTGCATTCCGATGCACTGCGAGGATGGAGTTCGCGAGTGGGGAGGGGAAGGGAAGGGAGGCCGATATGCCCGCGGTCGATACCTGGTCAAAATAGTTCAGTTCCAGAAGTCAATTTTTGCCCGTGTTTAGAAATGAAGTTTGGTTCGTTTTCATCGTCGCCTCGGGTGGTGTGCACGCTTCGCGGCGCCAGAATTGGGACTCGCCGGCCGCGGCGTGCTGGCGTGCTGACGACGCGCTCGTGGGTGGGCGGAGTGCGCCCCGCGCTGCCCGCGGCACCTGAGCAGAAGCAGGTGGGAGGCGCCTCGAACATCTTCGGGAATCATTTCGAAATATGAACGTGTCGTGGCCGCCCGCGGCGTTGCCTGGCGTTGCTTGGCGTTGCCCGCAGCGCGGCCCGGGCGCCGCTGACCCACATGTGACGACCGCCTTGCCTGACCCTCCTAGCGCCGAAGGCAGGCAAAGGCTGCCGTGCCGAAGGAACGGAGGAGAGGAAGGCACCCAGAGGTGCCCAGAGGCCGGCCGGCCGGCCCGGCCCGTCCGGTTCGCCGGCTGGGCTGCTGGACTGCCGGTTCGTTGATCCCAGCGATCCCAGTCCGGGCAGCAGGCAGCACCGGCAGACCGATTCCGAGGGTTGCTCTCGTCGCTGTCTCTCTCGCACCTGCAGGGGACGCCCCATGAGCGCGAGAGAGACAGAGCGACGAAAACGGCTCTCGGAACCAGTCTGCAGCGGGCTGATCTTCAGCACCGCGTTCAGCACCCGTCACTTTACCCCGCAGTGCTGCCTTCCCGTTTCTGTGGCGCGCTTTGCGGTGTAGTGTCACCGGGCGAATGAAATGTTGTGGTGCGGCTTGCCGGCTTGGCGTGGAGGCGGTGCTCGTCGTGACCCGGCCGGCCCGGCCCGCGCAGTCCGCGCCACACATGTGCAGATGCATGCCACGACCCGCGCGTCTTCATTGCATTTGATGCGACCGTAAACCTGGCCGTCTCCGCGCTCCGCCTCGACGCCGTGTTCGCCAAAGTGGCGGAAACACACTCCGGCCGGCGATGCCGCGCCGTGCCATTGAGGAGCGGCCGACCCAGATGCAGACTGCCCGTAGTGCACGCGCGCACGCGCCAAGGGAACGGTCCAAAGCCCTGAGTCAGTCGGCCAGCTCGCTTGCTGGATTTTGTTTCCGAGAGAGTAAATGCAAAGCTGGCGGCAGGTTGCTGGGGCCGGCCCCGCGCGCCCCGCGCTCTCCGGGTCAGGCCGTCAGGCCCAGGCTGTGAGGGTCCTGAGGGATGAGAATGTCAAGGGAACACATCTTGTGACGACACCGGCCGGCTAACCCGCGGGCCCCGCGGCGCCTCGCGGCCCGTTGCCCAACGCCCCGATTGGTGGGCGGGCCCTGGGCCCCCTGGGCCCCCTCGGCCCCCGAGCCCCGGCCTTCTTATCGCCATCAGCCGCCTCGGCACCTCGGCGATGAAGGGACGCGACCAGCTCTGGAAAAGTGACACGCAATTCTCACACGGCCCTTGCGTCACGGCAGTCGCGGCCAGCCAGGCAGAAGCTGGTGGTACGCTGATTCCGAACAGTGCTTCGTCGCTCTATCTCTCTCGCACCCCGACGCAGCAACGCCCCGTGAGTGCGAGAGAGACGGAACGACGAGAGCGCTGCTCTGGATAGGCAACTTTCGCGACATCGCCCACCTCTGGAGCCGTCTCTGGAGCCGCCCTTGCACTGGAGGCGCGGCCCGAGGCGCCACCGACTCGGTTTGCTTCAGTGTCAGCGCCATTAGCACCTCACGCCCCCGCTTCCCACGCGGCGCCACGCGGCGTGTCTCTGTCGTGTGTCTAATTGTTGTTGTTGTTGTTGTTGCAGATCTTCTTCCGCGCCGGCGTGCTGGAGCAGCTGGAGGCGCAGCGCGACGAGCGCATCGCCGGCCACGTGGTGCGGCTGCAGGCACGCTGCAGGGGCTTCCTCGCCCGGAAGCAGCTGGCCAAGAGAAAGGTAAGGCCGGCCATTTGGGCGAACGCGCGGCGCGCGCGGATTTTCAAGCATTTCGGGAACGGGGCCCTGCCGCCTGGGGTGCTTGTTTTTGTTTTGTTTGTGTTCCCCTGGAATCCCGGCGAGTGAGTCGGAACGTTTAGGCGGAAAGCAAGTCGATGCGGTGTCCGTTGCATTGTAACACGTTCACCTCGCCGACCGCGCCGACCGCGGCCCCGTAATGCATGGAGTCCGCGCGGCACGACTGACTGACTGGTCTTGTTGACGACTCGCCGTCACCGGATGCACAGACAAAACGAAAACAAAATGGGGAACGTTTTGAAAAGCAAGTTCCGCCCGCTAGTTGTTTCAGTTGAGGGAAAATTTCGTGAGTCGCGTTTGAGTCTGGAATGAAAAGCCCCTTTCCTTTCCTTTCCCAATCTCCCTTTTCGGCCGGGCCTGCGCCGCGGATACACTGCTGTGTTGGCCACTTTCCTCCAGGCCTTGCTGCCATTGCGCGCCGCCTCGCACTACTTGCTCTGCTTCCTATCTGCTGGTCTCTGCTCTGGTATTGAATAGCAATTTGCCCGCACGGTACCCGTATGCTTCCTGTGGTCCTGCGGTTCTGTGCCTTGCCCTGCCCCGCCCCGCGGCCAGCAGCAGACTGTTTCCGAGAGTCCGTTTTCGTCGCTCCATCCCTCTCGCACACGCGGGGCGACCCGTATAGGTGCGAGAGAGGGAGCGCGACGAAAACGACTCTCGGAATCAGTGTGCTGGCCGCGGGGCCGCCGCTCTGCGCCCGTAGCGTGCGCTGCCTCGCCGATCTTGGGCCTCACCTCACCCCGCCCCGCCCCGCCCCGCCCCGCCCCGCGTGCTCGTGACCTGGATGGCGTGCAACAGCCGCGCTATCACGCGCGTGTGCCTTACGCAACGGCCTTATCGCGCCCCCACTGTCAGACAGGGGCACGCGTCGTAAACACGACTCTTTTTTTCGCTCCCTCGTTTCGTTGCTGTGCCATTCATCTCCGAAATTCATTCATTGAGTCGATCCAGGGTCCACCGCGGACTTTCCGTGCGTGCCCGTCGCGCGCTCTCGCTTCGTTCACGTCTCTGAGAAGCACGGAGTACGGAGCGCTCCCACCACGCTCTCCTCGCCAGGACGGCGCTCCGAAAGCTCCCAGGCAGAGGACGCTGCTGCGCGCCGCCCGGCCCGGCCAAGACGCCATAATTAAAAGCTAATCACTATTGAGCAGCGCGCTCCTTCAAAGGGGCCGGGCCCGCCCCGCCGGCCCCGCCCCGCCCCGGCCAGGGAAAGGCGCGCCCCGTCCCGTCCCTCCTGTCCCGTTTTTCGTGCGATGGAAGGGTTATTGCTAATTGATTTCGCCTGCAGAGTCACTGCTGCTCCGGCCGCTCGCCGCGTCCTTGCGTTCGTACTAACTGTAAACACCTCTCTCTCTCTCTCCTTGGCCCGCTGCAGGTCCAGGACCTGGCCGTGCGGTGCATCCAGCGCAACGTCCGCAAGTTCATGAGCGTCCGCGACTGGCCGTGGTGGCGTCTGCTGGTCCGGGTGACGCCGCTGCTCAACGTGCACCGCACCGAGGAGGAGCTGCGCGCCAAGTCGGTGAGTCGTCGCATTTCATGTTTCATTCATTTTAAATTAACTTTTTTTTTGTTGCAACGCGCTTTGAGGTCGCTTGCTGACGTGCTTTCCTTGCTCTTTGCAGGAGGAGCTGGAGGCACTTCGCAGCAAGGTGGACAAGCTGGAGGCCGAGAGGACGCAGATCAAGCACGAGAGCGACCGCCTGGAAGCCAAGGTAAGGCATTGTTGGACCGCCGTAAACTGGTGTCTGTCTGTGTGCGTTTGTGTGTGTGCGGGGCGCCGCGGCAGTAGCGCCTGACGGCGAACACCGCGGCAACCCACAGCGCGGCCCAGTCGGTTGGGCTGCCTAGGCCGCCCACAAGTAGTGCCAGGGGGTGGCAACGGCCTAGGCGGCGCGTGAAACGATGCTCCCCGCTCGGGCCGGCGAGCGACGAGCGGCCGACCGCTGTGCACGGTGTCACTAAAATCAACATAACTTCATCAAAACTTCATCAAATTGAAAAACCCAGGTCATTTTCAGCATCTACACAAAATTTCCCATTTGTATGTAGTCATGGTTTACAGTTTTAGACCCGTTCAAAATGTTAAATCTCGATTTATAATCAAATTTACCGGCAATTTTAGCCAATTCAATATTTTGCAACGACGAAAAAAGTTATTTCCGTTCGTTTTAGGTCCATACATGCAGCGAGCCGATTGTTGGCCTCCACTTCCCCTATTGCGTAAGCATACTGGAATGCCGATACGACATCTGTGACGGTCACGGTGGCCCATAATGTAATTTGCAAAATTAGACCAAAAGCAGTTAGACTGACTTTGGGAATATTTTTCGTAGCTCTTTCGCACTTGTTTATCGTTCTGCAATAGCCTATACCACGCAGAATTTAATTCTCTATCGCCCTGTGGTAACGGTTTTTCAAACGGACGTTTCAGTTTTCACATTTCGAATTAGTTTTAAAACACTGCAAACTAACCCTAAAAGTACACGTATTTGGTAAAGCTTCACTTGAATAAACTAGGTGTCGTATCGCAAATCTGACTTCACCACGTTGTAGAGCGGACAATTCTACATGCCCCCGTCAAGTTTCATCACAATCGGTTGATTGTGAAAAATATTCGAAAAATATTCCCAAAGTCAGTCTAACTGCTTTTGGTCTAATTTTGCAAATTACATTATGGGCCACCGTGACCGTCACAGATGTCGTATCGACATTCCAGTATGCTTACGCAATAGGGAAAGTGGAGGCCAACAATCGGCTCGCTGCATGTATGGACCTAAAACGAACGGAAATAACTTTTTTCGTCGTTGCAAAATATTGAATTGGCTAAAATTGCCGGTAAATTTGATTATAAATCGAGATTTAACATTTTGAACGGGTCTAAAACTGTAAACCATGACTACATACAAATAGGAAATTTTGTGTAGATGCTGAAAATGACCTGGGTTTTTCAATTTGATGAAGTTTTGATGTGGTTATGTTGATTTTAGTGACACCGTGCACAGTGGTCGGCCGCGCGTTGCTCGCCGGCCCGAGCGGGGAGCATCGTTTCACGCGCCGCCTAGGCCGTTGCCACCCCCTGGTAGTGCACCCGGTTGGGCGCTGGTCAACGACACGTCCGCCCCGCCGGCGTGCACCTGTCCGACGGACGCTGGGGCTCGTCTCTGCCCGTCTCCCGCCGCGAGGCAGGGGTCGCCGAGCTCGTCCGGCCCGGCAGCAGACTGATCCGGGGGTCTCTCTCTCTCGCTCGCACTCGAAGGGCGTCCCCCGTAGGGGCGCGAGAGAGACAGGCGAGAGGCAGAGTCCGACGGCGGCCTCCCTTTGTCCGCGTCCCTTTCACTCTCGTCATTGTTCGGCCGGCACTGAGCTGCCAGTCTGCGCTGCGCGGAAGCTCTGCTGGCTTGGGGCCTGGACGGCCGCCAGGCGCGGCGCAGCGGTGCAGCAGCACAGCCCAACCCCCTCGCGCACTTACAGTGTGGGGTACGCCCCCCCGCACGTCGACCGCCCGCCTTTCCCTCGAGTCGCTCGCCGGCGAATCAACTCAAAAGCAGCAGCGGCACCTTGACCTGGGCCCTGCCGGCCTGGGCTGCACGCCGCGGCCATTCCGGCGCCTCGCGGTGACACCCCTGGGCGTGGACGTCGACGCCGTGGTGCGGCGGCCCCGGCGGCGTTTTCGTGAGATAACTTGGCGCCAATTCAAACGTCCGATTATGTAACTGTCTCGGGATGAAACGGAACGGAAACGAAATAACGATCGCACCAGACGCCCCCCTCCCCTTTTTGGCGGGGGCCTGCGTGACAACGTGCAACTAATAGGCAGCCGATAGGACACATTTTTTATTTTTTTTGTTTCAAGACCGTGTGTCTTGCGTGTGAGAAATGACAGCAGTAAGCGATGGTGCGCCTCTGCGGTGTGCGAAGGGTTTGGCATGGTTTGGGGAACCCCGCCCCGCCCCCGCGCCCGTGAGTGTGAGTCACCCCGGGCGCGGCCTTGCCGGCCTTGCCCTTTGACAATAACTCGCTCGCTCCGCGGGTTTACGACGAACTAACCCGGCCTCCGCCGTCGAGTGCAGCCGCTTCCGCGCCCCGGTGGGGTTTGCGGCAGGTCGGGGTGGCGGTGCGGTGCGGCGCAGCAGACGACCCGAGGCAGCTGCGAGCGAGTTTGTTTGGAAACGGCGATAGTCGTTATTTTGGCGATGCAGTCGCCGAGTGTTGCTGGCTGGCTAAACAGTCGGACTGTTGCAGCTTCTCGCGTCGCAGAGGAGGGTGCCGTGTGCGTCAGCAGTCGTCATCGCCGAGGCTGTCGAGGTTGTCAATGATTGGCGTCGCTCGTCAATGGTGCTGGGGTGGGGCGGCCGGGCCGGCCGTGCTGGCGGGGCGGGGCGGGGCGGGGCGGCGTCTCGGTTTGAAATTAGCGCGCGTCCTGCTGCACCGCGCGGCACTTCCTGGATGCGACTGCGACGCGCGTTGGTTGGGACTTTTCCTCTGACCGAAAAGACGGACGGACAGACAGACAGACAGACGGGCCGCTGCACTGGTGGGGCCGGCGGGCGGGGCGCGGGGAAGGGCGGCGCTATGCTGCGTGGTGTATTTTTACCGGGCCAAGTGCCGGGCGGCCGGGCGGCAGTCGCGGGGGGCGGGGAGCAGGCGGCGGGGCGGGCGAGGTGGACATTGTGATTCAGAAATGCGACGTGTCGGAACGTCGCGGTCGCATTATTGAAAAACAAAAATAAAGCTGACAATGGCGAGCTGGCTCTTGAAAGGGTGGGCGGGAGAAGAAACATGGCGCGTGCGACTGCAGTGGGGCTTCTGCACTATGCGCGCTCTGCGCCCGCGCCCTGTCGTCAAGTGATTACTCCCCCGACTGCCTCGAGCCTCGAGCCTCGCGTGCGCACCGGCCGACGCAGTGCTGCACCTGCATGGTTTCTGAGGCCCGCTTTTCCTGGGGCTTGTCGTCGCCGTCGTCATCGTCGTGGGGGTGTAGTCGAGGCACTTCCCGTTGAGGAAACCCCGCGGTCTGCATCTCGCCTCCGTTTTGACTTTGACCAGACCGGTGGCCCAGAGAGGCGCCGGGCTGCGTGCTGCCGGCGTGTTGGCGGCGTGCCCTCTGGCTTGGGGTGGGCCCGGTTCCCCCGTCCCCGCCCCCCTCGCCTCGCCGCCGCGCCCTGCGACTCTGCGAGCCCTCTGGGTCCTGGGCCGTGTGGCTGCGCGGCGGCCAGGCCGGGCCAGGCCCCGCATCCCGCAGTCCACCGCCGCGTGTCCCGGGTAGCGTGCGGTGCGTCTCGGTGCTGGCGCTGCAGGCCGTGCTGGCCGTGCTGGCGAGGCGAGGGGCGGCGCGAGGGGCGGCGCCATGACGGAGCGCAGCGGCGGCGGCGGCAGGCTGTTCGGCGGCGTGGGACGCTCCTGGACCAACATGCGCATCGGCGGCTTCTCGCTGGAGCGGGGCGATGGCGGCGGCGTGGGGTCCGGGACGACGGGCCGCATCATCCTGCCCATGAAGCACGCCAAGACGACCGGCGGCCTGCCCGACATCCTGGAGCACCCGAGCCCCCGGCTGCACCGCGGCCTGCTGCCGCAGTGCCTGGTGCAGCGCTACCGCCGGCCGCGCACCAGCAACGGCAGCGTCAGCAGCATCAGCAGCAGCAACAACGGCTGCGAGCCGCGGCAGCAGCGCGCCGGCTCGGTGTGCTCGTCGTACAGCCGCACCTCCACGTCGTCGTCCCGGCTGTCTCGGTCGCCGTCGCCGCTGTCCTCGTCGTACTACTCGTCGATGTCGCCCCGCGCGCCCAGCAGCAGCGGCAGCAGCACGCCCGGCCGCCGCTCCGTGCTGTCGCCCACGCCGGCGCCCAGGAGGGTGTTCCCTCAGGAGCCGTCCGTCGCGGACCTGGACGGCATTGAAGGTGGGACTGCGACGCCCACACTGGAATCGGTCGCCGCCCTGGTGGCCGATTCCAGGCCGGGCTGAGAGGCACGCCTCTTGCTTGGGGTTGACGATGACGCGATGACGGCCCGCAGGCAAGGACGAGTCCCCGGTCGTGTTCGACGTCAACCTGTCCTTCGACCTGGGCTCGCCGCCCCCCAGCTTGTGCGGCTCGGTGTCCGAGGCCGCGCCCGCTACGACGCGGACGCGCGTCCACCAGCGCCTGGTGCCCATGGCCGCGCACCTGGAGCAGCAGACGGCCTCGGCCTTCCTCACGAGCCGCATCGCCAACTTCCTGCAGCGCACGGACCACGTCATGGAGGAGTGGAAGCGGCTGGGCCGCAAGGACCCCGACGAGGAGCTGCGGCAGATGCAGCTGTCAGGTGGGCGACGGCGACGCGCCGGTGACGGTCTCGGAGGCCCTCGTCGCGGTGCTCGGTGTGATGCTCTTGTCTGGCGGCAGGCGGAGTGTCTCGCAGCCGCAGCGCCGCCTCCATCATGACCAAGGCCGTCAAGTACTACAAGCAGCAGGCCGCCACGCCCAGCCGCTGCTCCAGCAGGGTGTCCAGCAGGGCCTCCAGCCAGGTGCGGTCGCCGTCCGTGTCCAGGGACGACGCCACGCTCTCGGAGCTCGACGAGGTACAGGAGGCGCGTGTTGCCTGCTAGCATCCCCCGCCTGCGCCGGCATGCTTCCCCTGCAAGCTGCCTGCCTGCCGCGTGCTGTTTGTTGGCTGCTCCCTGGTGCCCGTTGTGTCTGTCGGTCTCAGCTCGGCGCTTGGCGTGGTCTCCTCCACGCGGACCGCCGCGGCGCCGCGACGCGCCTCGCTGGTCGCGAACAACGCGGCCCTACGGCGGGTCCCGTCGGCCCCGTCCCGGGTGCCCCGACGTGGTGGGGCACCGGCCGCGCGGCGCGTCTCTTGACTTAGCGCCGCCAGGACGACGCTGCGCCGCCAGCAGGCCGATTTCGAACGGTCGCTCTGTCTCTCTCGCACCCCCGCGGTACGCCCCGCCCCGCGAGTGCGACAGAGAGAGAGAGACGGAACGCCCCCGCGGCGCCCAGCGCGGTCGCTCTGATTTGTCATCCTTTTTGTCGTCGTTTTTCCTCGTCGGTATCGGTGACGTGATGTTTTGGGGGAGGGGGCTCTACCCATCTCCGAGTCCCGAGCCTTCCCATGATACTGCGACGGCCCGTTATGCCGGCGTGCCGCGGCCTGCCCATGAAGGCTGCGCAAGTCGTTGTGGTGCCGTACCGCCGCCCCGCCTCGCCGTCCCATTGCGGTTTCGTCGCTAACGTTGAACGTTGTGACGGACGGCGGCATGGCGGCGTGGCGGAGGCATCGACCGCATCGCCGCGGCATGATGGCATCGACAGGCCGGCCTTCGAGGCCCTGGAGGCCCTGGAGGCCTCCGCGCGCATGCCCCGGCTGGCTGCGACAAGTTTGGAAAGGCGGCTGCAGACTGCACAGCGATTTGACGAGTCCGTCTGTCTGTCTGTCTGACCGTCCTCGGGCTTCCTTCCGTCCGCTCGCCCGCCGGCCAAAGATAGGGCTATTGTCAGTGGCTTTGACGTGCGTCTGGCTCGGGTCCAGCGTCCGCCGCGTCCGCCGCGCGCCGACTCACCTTACCGTGTCGTCCGCGCGCACGCCGGGAGGGCCTTCTTTGCGGCGGGGCGCGGCGCCGCGGCGCTGGCGAAATAACACGCGGCAGCCCACATCTGCCCTGTTTCGCTGTCGAGTGCGTTTCGAGGGTGCGGCGGTGCGGGGGCGGCTGCCAGTCCTGCTCTGTCTCTCTCGCACTCATGGACAGGTGCGAGGGAGACGAAAGCGACTCTCTGAATCGGCCTGCTGGGCCTTGGTGGCTAGTCTAGTCGGGCTGGTTCCGGCGGCCGTGGTGTATGTATGTATTTGCGCACGCTGGCTGGCCATGGCCGCAGGGCCACGAGGTTGTGGTGCGGCCAGCACGGCCACCCTCGTCCCCGTCAAATTAGCACCGTCATAACTTTGGCCGCCTCGTTGCTGCTCTTGTTCCCCGCACTCGCCACTCGCCCCGGGAACTTTAAAAGCTGCATTAATTCTGTGCGCTGGGCCTGCCGACTGCTGCACGGTAGCGGCAGGCTGTCTCTCTCGCGCTCATCATGGGGCGTCCGCTGTCGGTGCGAGGAGAAAAACAGTGACGGCCGGTCGTATTATTTGGTCGTTTGCAAATGCGATTGGACGATTTATCGCTGGCCGGCGGGGCGGTGGACGTGGCGGGCCTGGCGCCGGGCAGGGCAGCGTGGGCCGGCCAGGCTTGGCGGCGGCGTGTTTGGAAAGCAGTCGCTGGCTTTATGACTCCGCAATATGGCTGCGTGTTTCTTTTTCCCGCGGGAATGCGCGTGCATGCGCGGCATGTGTGCGAGCGGCAACAAGTAGTCCACCGGGCAGCCCAGCCCGGCCCGGCCCGGCCGGCCCGCGGCCACAAGCGCCCCAAGGTCGCGGCGGGGGCCCTCGGGGGCCGGCCGGCCGGCGGGGGTGGCGCGCGTTGAGAGCCGCGCCGCACGGACGTGCCTCGAGAGCATGGCTCCAACTACTCGACTAGCGGGCCGTGATATGAAACACATGCGCCGGCACGGCATCATCGCCCAGTGTGGGTCCGACGGGCACGTCCCGGGCGCCGCGTGGCGTCGCGTCGCCGGCGCCCCGGGAGTCGCTCTCGGTCGCCGCGGTCGCGTGGAGTGGAGAGCCCGTCGCGGTTTTAGGAGCCCCTGCCGTGCCGACGGTACCGACCTTGACACTGACCCCCGCGTCGCCGACTTGACTGCAGACGTCCTACTGCCGGTGGCGCGGCTCCGCGGCGGCTCAGCTTTTATTGCTGCACTTCTTGGACGTGGCCGGGCGGGGCGAGGCTCCGCAAAAAAAAAAGAAAGGTACCGCGGCGGCGCTTTACGAGCAGGGCCTTCTTGTGGCGGTGCGCGAGGGAGCCGCCTCGGTGCCTCGGCGGATGATCCTGCAAATCTTATCCTTTATCACGTAACTTTCCGGGCCGCTGGTCCGGGCCGCCCCGCCCCGCCCCCCGCCGCCCCGCGCCGCGCCAGCCAACTACTTTGACGGCTAGTTGCCTTTGTGGGTGCGCGGGTCCCTGGCGGCTCCCTCGCGGCTCCCTCGGCCCCGGCGGGCCACTCGGTCACTGACTGACTGGATGCCATCGCTCCGGCGCTCCGGCGTCGCGGCCGAGGCACGCCCAATGGGCTCGCCCGCCTACCATTCGGACCAACCACCATCGCCACCACTCCATCCATGTTAATTATTTTGATTATTTTTTTCCTGGGTGTGTTCGCTGGCTTCTCCGTATGTGTTTCGTGGCCTGCGTGCGTGTGCGTTTGTGCGTGTGGGTGTGTTCGTGTCCGCTCAATTGACCGTTTCTGCCCGTTGCCCGCAGCTGAGCGAGATGACGGTGGACTTGGCGGAGGAGCACTCGACCGCCTCTCTGGCCACGGACCGCCTCGAGGTGGAAGTCGCGGACCGCATTCGGCTGGAGAAGGAGCTGCAGGACGTGCAGGTACGCTTTGGTGTTATTTATTTAAATTTTGTCGCGTAATTTGTTTTGTGTTTTAACCCAATTTTTGACAAATTAAAAAAAAAATTAACCTAACATTCGACTAAAAATTTCACCCAAAAAAATACAATTTTTACTTTATTTTTGACAACTTTTTGACTTTATTTTTGACTCAACTTAAGTTTTTAAATTTGCCTGTCATTTTTCCCAGGGCCACAACAAGCGGCTGCAGCAGGCGACGGAGCGGCTGGAGCTGGAGCTGCTGCACGCGCGCACGGCGGACCTGAACGGCGTGCACTCGGAGGACGAGGGCGGCAGCGGCGACGGCGACGGCCCCTCGGCGGCGCTGCGGCAGCGCTACGAGCGCACCCTCAGGGAGCTGGAGTTCACCAAGCGGCGCCTGCAGCAGCAGCACGAGGACGACCTGGAGCAGCTCGTGGGCCTCAAGAAGCAGCTCGAAAAGAAGGTGCGCCCGACGGCCCGAGCGCCGCTTGACAATTTATTATTCAAATTGTTTTCGTCTGGTTTTTAATGGTTATGCTGATTTGGCCTTCAGCTGGCCGACGCCTACGAGGAGGTCGAGGAGCAGCGGCAGGTGGTCGGCCAATGGAAGCGCAAGGTGCAGAAGCTCAACGCCGAGACCAGCGACCTGCGCCTGCTGCTGGAGAACCAGGGCTCCAGGAACAACCTGCTGGAGAAGAAGCAGCGCAAGTTCGACTCGGAGCTGCAGCTGCTGCAGGATGAGCTTCGCCGGGAGCAGCAGCAGCGGGAGCGGCTGTCGCGCGAGAAGGAGATCGCCCTCGGGGAGAAGTACTCCATGGAGCAGAACGTCAGCGTGAGTAGTCGAGGTCGAAGGCAGCCTGCCGCGTAGGCAACCCGCCGCGGTCGCCTGCGTCGCAGCCGTGCGGTTGCCTACCCGGCACTCCGCAGGCGTCAGGCGGCCTAGTGGGGGGACTTGAAATTTGCGTGGGACGCCGCGGCGTCGCTGTGACGGCAGTGGTCTAACTGGCTGTTTCCTCTCCGCGCTTCCAGGCGCTGCGGCTCGAGCTGGAGCTCAAGGAGGAGAAGGTGGTGTCGCTGTCGCGCGAGCTGGACGAGCTGACGTTCGGCGGCAAGACGGAGGAGGAGGTGGCGCAGCTCAAGAAGGCCAAGCACCAGCTGGAGCACAAGTGCAAGGACCAGCAGGAGGAGCTGGACGACCTGGCCGGCCAGGTGCAGCTCCTGGAGCAGGCCAAGCTGCGCCTCGAGATGTCGCTGGAGCAGCTGCGCAAGGAGCACCGCAAGGAGATCGGGCAGCGCGACGACGAGCTCGAAGACGTGCGCTCCAACGCGCACAAGAAGGTCAAAGGTGAGTGGAGCCGCCAAGCCGCCAAGCGACCATCGCACGGGCCATTGCGTACTTCATTATGTTGTGTTTGCCTGTGAGTGCCTCGCTGATGTGTGACCGCCTCGCTGTTCCAGCCCTGGAGGCGCGCCTGGAGGACGAGCACGAGGAGCGGACGCAGCTGGTGCGCGAGAAGCACGAGCTGGAGCGGCGCCTGGGCAGCGTGGAGGAGGAGTGGCGCGCGCGGCGCACGCGGGACGACGGCCAGGTGCAGCGGCTGCGCCGGGACCTGCGGCGCACGCGCGCCCTGCTGGCGGACGCGCAGGCGCAGCTGGAGCGCGCCAAGGCGGACACGCCGGGCAAGGCGGCGCTGCGGGGCCTCCGCAACCAGCTGGAGGACTTGGAGCTGGCGCGCGCGCAGGCCGTCAAGTCGCGGCAGCTCGCCGAGCAGGAGCTGGCCGACGTGCAGCAGCAGCTGGAGGACGCGCAGCGCCTGCGCCACGAGAGCGAGGAGCGCGCCCAGGCCGCCAGTCGGGAGCGCACCGAGCTGCGCACGCAGCTGGAGGAGAACGAGGACGAGCTGTCCGAGGTGATGAACAAGTACCGCGCCGCCGTGCACCAGCTCTCGGCCGAGCAGGCCACGCTGCAGGACAGCGTGGCGCGCGTCGCCGAGCTGGAGCAGGAGAACGCGTCGCTGCAGGACCAGCTGGCCGAGCTGACGGCGCGCCTCGCCAGCGCCGAGACGCTGGGTGACCCCAGCAGCTCGCTCACGGCCAAGCGGCTGGAGCTGCGCTGCAAGGAGCTGGAGTCGCGGCTGGAGCTGGAGCAGACGACGCGCGGCCGCCTGGACACGCAGATCTCGCGGCTCAAGGAGACCGTGGACAAGCTGCAGAGCGAGACCAGCTTGCTGCGCGCGCGAGAGCAGTCCGCCCAGGACCAGGCGCGCAAGCTGCAGCGGTGAGTCGAGTCATCGTTCGGTTGGATTCCCAGTCGCTGTGCCCGTTCCCTACCGTCCCGTTGACTTACTTTATTGCCTCTCGCTGCCCTGCAGGTCGCTGCGCGAGGTGCGCGAAGAGAACTCGGGCTTGGGGGCGCGCGACGCGGAGGCCCTGGAGAAGAGGAAGGCGCTGGAGAAGCGGCTGGAGGTGGCCGAGGCCGAGGCCAGCTCGGCGCGCGGCGACCTCAAGGTGGCCCTGCAGCGCATCGACGACCTGCAGCAGGCCATCCAGGGCGACCTCGAGCTGGACGACAGTTCCGCTAGTGATAACAGTGACAAGTAAGTGTGGCGCGCATCCCTCTGGTCGCGGCGTGGCGTGGTGTGCAGTGCAGTGCAGTGCCCCCACCCAGTTTGCCCCCTCACCCCGATCTAGTTTGCTTGCCCAATCAGGCATCACTTTGATTGTGATCGCTCTATTTCTCATAAAAGTAGAAATGTCCTAATTGTTTGCTACATCATATTTTGGAATTAAAAATCTCAAGATCATGGTTGAGCCAATTAAATACATATTGTAGAACTGACAATAGCTTGTTCCCTGTTAACTTTTCTGTTGATTCCTAATTTCCCCATAAGATTTCAGCTTTAAACTTTGTGTTCAGATACCTTTTGCATTCCCACCTTACCTGCATGCTTTTTGTGTGTGAACTTGCAGTGATAACGATTCTGAAGGATCCGACGAGTCGATTGAAACATTCCTGGCCAACCACAACATGGGATCTGGCCGCCTATCTACAGCAAATTCAAGCAAAAGGTCATCATTATGTGAACGTAGTCCTCGACAGGAAAGAACTCCAATGTTTGATCTAAGCCCAAGGTATGCATTTTTATTTTCTGTTATTGTTGAGGCCATTTGGAAGTGATTTGTATATTCTCCAACATTTTAGAAGTGGAACAGTTTGATTGACTGCTATAATACTGTTGTTTTGTCTTCTTACAGATTAGGAGAACCTTGCAGTACACCAAAGGAAGACACAAGTTAAAACAAACCTGATCCAGTCATTAAGTAAGATGCTCATTTGTAGTAAAATGAAAATTTCGATTATTATGATGGTAATTACTATTACAATTATTATTTGTTGATTATTTTTTCTTGATAGTATGGTATGTGTATGTTGTTAATTCTGTTGTAATCCTGGTTAGGCTAGTTAAAAACAATTTTATTTGTCTGTGAGGCCGGTTTGATTGGTATTATCAAAAGTGCACTATTGCAATTTATTATCTGCTGTCATTTTTAGTATGGTTTTTATGGAAATTAATTATTCATGTTACTTTAAAAGTATCTAAGCCAATGTTGATTTCATTTTGCCTTTGATGGAGCTGAGCTCTAAATTCAGTTTGTATGAAAACTGTTTCAACTTTATTAGTAGGAGTGTTGTATGAGTTGATTTGTTTAAGAACATTGTGTTAAGAGATTTGTATCAAAGATCTTTTTATCTGAAAAAATAGTGATTTGCATTGATCGCTTTGAAAAAATGTTAAGCAATGGTTCTTTTTAGACAGCGTTTTAAAAATCCAGCTGTATGGCTCTTGATTGTTTGTATAATTTTACAGTACTGCTCATTTAGCATGCTTGCATTGCATTACATCAAGGTCATTCAAACTTAGTGTTCAAATGAAGAAACCGCTTGTGAAATGATTTTTTAATTTCTCAATCGGTTTCTAATTATGGCATTTGGTTTACGTGTTCCTCATTTTGATTAAAACTGCCACTTGTGGACCATGAGTTGACTGAGGCATACATGTTGCCAGCTCTTACCTTCATTTAGTGAAACCTTGTAGATTTGTGAACAATTTTAATGTATTTTCTCTGAACAAATTGTATGCCTGTAGCTGCCCAAACTTCTGTTTAAAAAGAACTGGTGTGTACTTACTGAAAAGCAACTTTGATAAAATTTTGAGGACGGTTTTTGTCTTTCTAGGATGAGATTTTGATTGTGTGTTAAACAATGCTTTTGAAAGCATTCCGTTTTTGTTAAATTTTTGAATGAATCTTATTCTTACTTGCAGCTCAGTTTCATTGTTGTTGTTTTTTCCTGTAAGTAATTAAACTTCAAGAGGTGTAAAATATGATGTATTTATGTATAAAGAAATATATTTAAGAGCAAGAATTATGTGTCTTTTCTATAACCCAACTGATAACTTGCTGCTGATGGACAGAAGGTTGAATGAAGGACAATGACAGTAAATGGGATCAGTTTTATCACACAATCTTACAAAGTAATAATAATCACAATATTTACAAAAGGGTAGAGAAATTAGGTATACGTAGTCAGTTATGAATAAAATCATGTGGTAAATTTAAATGCTGAAATTTTCTGTTCCCAAAGCAAAGATTCAGGTGACCACTGCACAGCAGTATTATCATCCTGACATAAAGGTGATTCAAAATAGATGGGATGTTCAGGAACAGTAGACTAAAGAAACTAATCAACATAGAGTTGCAACCTTGGACCACTGGACCAATATCTGTTCAGAGTTAGCAATGCACAAATAACAAAGATATCTGTGGAAACTGTATTGACGACGCTCTGTCACTTTCTGACAGTACAGAAAAGAACAAGTATTGTGCCCAATGAGGTGTAATTTAAAAAGTCGCCTTCATCATAGTTAACATTAATTTCACTTCTTTTGCCACAAAACCTGGTATGTTGCTAGTGGCAAAGCATCAATGCCAAAATGATCCAATCCCACCAAGCGCATTATGCCTAAAGCATCCTATTCAACTGATTTACACACAATCAGGTATTACAAACTTAGCATCATGCTGTAGCTGTGTAAATGCGACTTTCTAAATTGCAATCCCAACAACAGTAAACAATGTGATTTACTGTTTTGTGTATTGCCTCTACCACATAACAAAATACCAGTTCCATATCAACCTATCATCCGTGCATTTTTACATAAAATTCTTTTCCATTCAGTTTTTAGAAGAAGTTCAAAATGCATGATATGATTTCCAGAAGGACAAGTGAAAGGCAGTTCTTGGATGCAACAGACAAAAGTAACAGTTATTGGATCTCAAATTGGAATTCAAAAGTGTAGAGTTGCATTGTAGTCTTTAACATAGTTATTCTTAAAAGAAATACAAAAAATAGAGAAGAGGGAAAAGTTACTTAAAATTGCAGGTAACGTCTTCTTGCAAAGCATTAGACATTATGTCGTCAGACTACCTTCAAAGCAGCTGCGACATTTTACAAGGAGGTATGCCACAAGCAAAAGAAAATGAAAAATGAGACTCTGTAAAGATTTTGCTCATTTTCAAAAAGGCAGGGAATGAAGCAAATAGTTGGACGGGTGAACTCATTGGTCACACAATGTTTGTCCCAAATTATCTGAAGGTGAAGGTAACTTACACAGGACCATGGTAGGGAGGGGTAAGAACTTTCTTCAATCTCCAGTAAGAGATGATCTTCAGCAAGGGCTCAGTTGAACATGAGGTTTTGTATTCTAACAAAAAAGAAAAAGTACAATTCTTTTTTACAGTAGAAATGTTAAACCAAATAGTTTGCACTCAGCTTACAGTGCAATATGTCAAATTGTTGAGCAGATTCATAACAGAAGGACTTAACTGTTTTAAAACTTATGACATGTGTAACATTCTGGGATATGTTTTGTGGACGTATATGCCATAACTTTTGATATTGATACTCATCAATCAGACTCTTACAGATTAATACCTCTATCTTCATCTATCAGCACCATAATGATATAATACATACTATGATATTTGTTTCCTTCCGAAGATAAAGACAAATAGTTATATAGGTATAAATGGTTTGCAAATACACAGTGCGTACTAACAAAAAAAAGACCGTATTTTTCTTCCTTTTTTTCATAATTTTTGGCGTGGGTTTTGGAAGGGTACAGAAAGGTAACTGCTTGTGTACGACCTTTATCAATAAAGAACAAAATTTGTTGGAAGTATTTTTAAAAGGTACTTAAATTTTTTCCCTCAATAATTTGGGATTTTCAATTTTAGTTTAGTTTAATAATATCATATACATATATCTCCACCTGGGTTTGTTTTAAAAATAAATGTAAATATAGGGGGAAATTTAATGGTGCATTAAAAACAGAAGCATCAAGCAAGAGTGACCCCGCATCTTCAAAGGGAATGACCTGTCATTGTCAGTTCTTCACTTGGGGAATGTATAAAGTAGGGAGTATCTCATATTCACACTGGGAGCTTAAATTTAAAATACTAATCGTATATCACAGTCAAACGGGCTCACTATATCAAACAATAACGGATAGGAATGTTTCAACCTCACAAAAGTCTGAGAAGGCTGTGACCTGCCCCTATGCATAGCGTCACCAATGCGAGGCAAATGCTAAGGAGCAAGTTGGCACCTTGGAACGCTCCCCTCCCGCAGAGCTCTATTTCCCGTTCCTGCAAAGAAACAAAGAAACATAGTGGATTAGTTCCCGGTCGATCGAGCGCGGTGGTCATGTCCCTCAGGGACCTCAGGGACCTCAGGGTAGGGGCGAGGGGGCCTACCTTGGGGTGGTGGTTGAAGCAGGACCGGGGCTTCTTCCGGTTCAGGTCCCACGAGGACCCCACCTTGAAGCAGCTGAGCGACGAGTTGTACAGCACCTCCTGGGGGATGAGGGTGACCTCGTGCTCCACCTGCGGGCACAGCGCGTCCACGACGAGCAGCAGCAGGTTGCTGTGCGGGATGCTGTGCGCCACGAAGGGCCGCTCGCAGCCCGCCATGGGCATGTGGATGCCGCGGGGCCCGCCGCCGCCGCCCTTGTCCGACGTGTTGGCCAGCAGGAACAGGTCCACCTGCTGGTCGCAAGGCTGCGGCCGCGTCCGGTTGATGAGCAGCTTCTGGAACAGGCGCTCCATCGGCACCTTGGTCACCTTGTCCTCCAGGCCGTTCGGCACCGTCGGGTCCGGCGCGTTGTCGTACGCGATGTCTGCTGCGGAGAAGCGGTCCAGTTACTACACTGCCGGGCTGCCTACTAGGGCGCGTTCAGGCGAGAGGGTTTCGCGTTTGTTCTTACCGTCCGTGTAGTCCGCCTCCTGGTCGCGAGACACCTGCATGAGGGCGCCGGCCTGCGCCATGGTGTGCGTGCCGAGCCAGATGAGCGCCGTGAACAGCCAGTGCGCCAGCATCTTGAGGTGCATCCAGGGCTGCGGGGGAAGGAGGGGAAGGCACGGGTCAGGAGGCACTGGGCGTGGCCCGAGTTGACGCGTTTTGAGCTCCAGATTCGCTAATGGGACACGAACCGAGCGTGTGACCCCACCAATGGATTGCTCTGCGAACGAGGAATCCATTGATGGGGTCACACGCTTGGTTCGAGTCATGTTTAGCGACTGTGAACCTCTAGAGTTTTAGCCGCCTCCGCTGGTAAAGGCAACCTACCGTGACGGCGCGCCTGGGCCCGGCGCTGATCTGGCCGTCGGGCCGGAAGCACACTGCCTGGTAGTCGTACACGGTGATGCGGCGGTACATGTTCTCCCGCACCAGCATCTCCATGATGGCGCCGCGGATCTCGCCGAAGAAGCGGCCCGTGTGCGCCAGCTCCTCGGACACCACCACGAAGCCGTGGTTGTCCAGCACGAAGCAGTCCACCTCGTTGGACTCGCACGTCTTGCACTTCTTGCCGCCGCACTGCGAGAGAGAGAGGCGCTTGTGAGTTGGAGTCCAGGGAAGAGCGCGGACGAGAGAGACAGACGAGGGACTCACGAGCTGCGGCGAGGCGGTGGACGTGATGTTGGTGAAGAGCGTGTGCAGGGCCGAGTGCTGCACCTGGAAGCCCACGACGGCGGCGGGCGCGCGCGTGCCCTTGTGGCTGTCGTAGTGGAACACGGCGTGGCTGGCCGTCACCAGCGTGCCGTTCTTGTAGCCTGCGGGGAACGCACCGGACACTCTTACTCACTGCCGCCGGCGCCTCCCCGTCATGCCGTCATGCTCCCGCTGGCGCTACTTCTAGGGCGAGGCGTTGGCGCGTCGGCCTTCTCCACAGCAAGCCCCTGGGCATGCCGGCCTGCGCTGTGGCTGTGCGGGCTGTCCACTCGGCTCTTTCCCTACAGTGCCTCGTCGTCCTGTCTCTCTCGCTCCCCCGGCTGCCCGAGGCTGCCCCTTGAGTGCGGAAGAGACAGAGCGACGAGACGACTCTTCAGACCACAGTGCAGCGGCGGCCCAGCGTCGCTGGCGCGCGCATCCAAAGTAACACAGTCGCAAGTTGACGACATCATCAAGATCGCAGTCAGTCCTTCCTCCGCTAGTTTGCGTCTATGAGTCGTCCGCCTAGGTCGACACGCGTCGCTACGCGGAAGCAGATGGAAAGCGGTCAAGTTCTACGGCCAATCTAGTTCAACTATTGTAAAAGCACGGTGCTAGGCTCGACTCATTTCGTCGGAGGTAAATTTTCTCATCGTTAAGGACTTCATCCAATCAGTCCTTCCTGCAAACAACGACCGGGGCTTCGGAAAGACCGCAGAGGAAGGTCACACACAAAAAAGTCAAAGAGAGCTTGCGAAAAAAAATTACAAAAAGTGAGCCGATGTCCGACGTTGTGATGCAGTGACGTACAGAAGTCCAAGCTTAACTCCTCTCTGAGTCTGTCCGAAACCCCCGGGACGCGGGGGCCATCCATAAATACACCATCAGGGGATTGGAAGGGTGGGGCGTCCTACAGGTTTGGCAACTGTTGGCGTAAAATGGATGGCCCTGGAGAGCGAGTAAAGATAGTGAGATTTTCACCTCTGCAGATAGGACCGCCCAGCACCCCTCCCTCTGTCGTGAGGGCGCAGCACGCGCAGCAACGTCCAGAGGAGGAGAGAAAGAGAGAGAAAGCCGAAATGTTCTTAGGAAACGTTCCTGTGACGGGTGACACTTGGCACTAGGCAAGCAGGCTGCAGATGCATGAGGAGGCAAATGGCAGCGAAATGTTCCTACGTACTCCAGCTCTGCCCGCTAGTATATTGTTCGAAAACTAAACGATGGGGAGCGGCACCTAGCTGGCGTGGTGTTAAACTTAATAAACTTGGAAACAGAACTAAATAGGGATACAACTTAATTATCCATTTAAATTTCATACTTGGAAATTTTACTGGAAAATGTACAAAGGTTAGGCCGTCCGTCCTGCATTCGCAGTGAACGCGTAGTTCGACACGTTCATCATGCATACTGATTTCACGAAACCGTTTTTGATCGGAGAACACATGTTTTCTCTAGAGGAGTTTTGATGATGTTTCTCACCTGCTAAAGTCGCCTTCTAGCGCGCGTCTAGCAGTGCATGGTTGAATAGGGCGAAGCTAGCGCCGTCTGCTAAATGCGGAGGACTACACTCCGTGCTATGGGACTAATATCGGGTTTGCACTTTCAATAACTATTTCGTCTCGCAAAAGAAGACTTTTAGGGGATGATAGATCGGTGGGTGAACGTGTATGAAAGAATGAAGCCTTTAAAAACGACGGAGTGAGAAGGACAAGACGTTCTAGAGGGCACGCATACCTGACTCCTGGTGCGGCACCGAGTACACGAAGCTGGAGTTGCTCTCCTCGAACTGCTCCACCGCGCGCTGGTACCACAGCTCGTCGATGGCTCGGTTGTGGATCTCGCTGAAGTGCCTGAGACGGACAGGACACACATGTCACGCGGCTCACCAAGATGAACAGCGTGGGCCCAACACTCAGGAGCGTAAACTCAGATGAGTACACCTCCAAGAGAGTGCCCTGAGTGAGTACACTGGAGTGGAGCTTACTGGTCGTCGTGGACGTTGGCCTCGTTGGCGTGGAAGTCGATCCAGCGGGTGAGCCCGCTGTGCGTCGCCATGAAGGCGATGCAGAAGCCGTAGCGCGCCTGGTACTCCTTCCTGCAACACGCCCTGAGTCACGACCTGGCCACGGCACTGGAAGGCACTGGAAGGCAGCCCGACCAGGAGTGCACGGCGTCTCGAGGGGTTTCAATCACTTTGTATGCCGTAAGACACAAATCTGCACTCCTGATCCGCCGTCTATTTCTACACCCTTCCTCGCGAGCTTGCATGGAAAATAAAAAAGAAATACAAAATACGAGGGGGCAGGGTTAGGGGAGTCCTTGCGGCATAAAAAAAAGAATCCTTGCTGCGTGAAATAAAAAGTCCTCGCTGCGTGTGGAAGGGGCAACACAAACACTGGACCGCTACGAGTGCACCACCCTCATTCGATCCGCGAGACATCGGAACGCCAAACTGCCTCGGCTGTTGGAAAAGAATGAATTATATGCTAGACGCACGTTCAACCGCTCTTTCTCTCACTCCCTCACCCACACGCACACTCACACACATTCGCACACAACGCTACTGGGACGTGTTGGCGTGTTGTTTGACGCCTAAAACGTCAGGCAAAGGGACCAACGACTCGCAATAGTACGTGTAATGTACTGGGTACTTGCAATTTACTAGTGCTCGCACATTATACTTTACCTTGGCAGCAATAAAAGTAGCAGCGCTAACGCTCTTTGGTGCGCAAAGTAAACCACATCAAAAGTTAGTCAAGTTTAAGTGATCATGAAAGTCAGGTTTAATGTTTGCAAGCAATGAAAGAAAAAATTATTATTGGGTGTGCCATAAGATCAAAAGGGAACACAAATATTTCCGATGGCTTGACCTCACCGACCTGGAGTCATGATTGAGAAACATTTGACATTCAAGTCTATGCCTTTAAATAAATAAACCGGGACCGGGAAAAATGTTGTCATGCTTGGGAATCGAACCCAGGCCCCATTTCTTTGTTTTTCTAGCAGTGCACTGTGCTTGCAGTGTTGGCTGCGCTCCGCCCGAGCGGTCCGAGCCCCTGCGATGGAGCGGGTAGGCAACCCGAACGCGCGCGCGCTCGACGGCGCGGCCCGCCCGCAGGCGTCAGGGTGGTGCAGCCGGTGCACAGTGGGCCAGAAGTGGAGACGGTCAAAACAAGTGCGTGCCCCGTGCTCCGCGACAACGTGCACGAGTGCGAGTGGAGCCACGTCGTTCCCCCGGACTCACCCCTTGTCGCTGGGCGCGGCCAGGTTGTTGTTGAACCACTCCGTGACCTTGGCGTCCATGACCAGCGACTGGAACAGCGACCGGTCACCTGCACAGGACGGGCGTTAGCTGGGCGCACTGGTGCCTGCGGGCCGGAGTGCCCGAGGGCGGCAGAGCAAGGCGCTTACAGAAGTAGTGGTCCTTGTTGAAGGGCGTGCCGGAGGTGTTGCCGGCATGCTCGGGCGACGGGAAGTTCCGCTTGGTGAGCCACTTCCAGCCGCTGCGCCCCGTCTTGTTGAGGAAGTGCATCAGCTCGGCCTCCGGCGTCTCGAAGCTGTGCTCGGCCTCGTACAGGTACTTGCAGTAGTCCCAGTCGGGGTGCACCTTCCAGTTCTTGCCCTTGAAGTAGTCCATCACGTTGTGCTTGCCTGCGAGCCGAAACACACGCCGGGTTAGCGGGGCGGCGGCGGGCGCGTCGGGGTTCGGCACGTCGGGCTGCTCCTCACCCTCGATGTGCACGCGGTGGATCTCGAGCTCGGCGCGGACGCGGTGCTTGCCGTACGGCTCGGGCACGGCGATGGCCAGCGAGAAGTTGAGCAGCGGCCGGTAGTAGTAGTGGCGGCGCACCAGGCCGATGCGGCGCTGCAAAACGCCACCGTCAGGCACACTGGGAGTCGCTTTCGTCGCTCTGTCTCTCTCGCACCTACACGGGACGCCCCATGAGTGCGAGAGAGACAGGGCGATGAAAATGACTATCGGGATCAGTCTGCAGCTACAGATTCAACTCCCCAGACAACCACCCGACTCACCATGTCGTCGTAGTGGTACTTGACGTCGATGTACTTGGAGCCGTTGTTCTGGTTCACCAGGTCGTCCCGGAGCTGTGGCAAGCGAAACGCATGGGGGTTATTTTCGCTCACTCCGTTGGAGTGCTAGAGAGAGAGAGAGAGAGAGAAGAGTGCGGGCGTGATAAGATAAGGACAGTACCTGCGTGAGCACCGGGTCCAGCTCCCGCGGTCGGCGCGCATCGTCCACCAGCTCCACCTCCGCGAAGTCCACCGCGTTGTAGCTGGGCTTCAGGATGTCGCCGAACTGCGGGAGGGAAGCGCAAAGTCAGCACAAGCGTGGCACCCCATCGGTGGACCACAGGCCGAGAGGCCGTTTGCAGTGTGTCTTACCGTGGGCCGCAGGTCCGGGTGCACGAGGATGTAGCCGTTGTTGGTCACGAGGAAGGCGTACGCGTTCACTCCGAGCTGAGCAGAAACGTCAAATATTCGGTCATTTTCCGATGAGAGCTTTCAAATGTGTTTTGGTAGGAAGAAAGGGGGCAAACCTTGTGCGCGTTCATGAGGCGCTGGATCTCCTGGATCGGCACGTCCGTCCCGGCCACGCCGAGCAGGTTGGCCACCCGCGTCTGCAAGTCGAACGACAAATCAGCTTCTCGTGGCGGTCGTTCAAATTTTCACTTGTAGTTTGAAATCTAGTAATGTTGATTTTGGTTTGGTTATCGTAGTAGAACTATCGAAACTATCGGTAATCATCATCTCCTTCCACATCACACCAAGACACAACTACGACTATGTACTTATACACTACAGCAATTTTCGTCGTACTACAAATGATACAATTCCGACAATTTTTTATCCTACGAAATGGTCTATTATAGTACGATGAAACTTTGGATGAGATCCGTGGGACACTCCTAGATAAGTGAACAGGAATTTGAATGGAAGTAGTTGTACATTGCCAGGTGTGCTTCCAGAGTTCTAAACTTACGACACTTACGACTATAATACACATAATTACAAGGAAAAGGAGAAAGTATCACTACACTAAGACTATCTGGTCCAGCTCTGCAAACGGGATCTGCTTGGAACTATATTACGCATGGCAACCACGGTCCTTTTCCTTGGAAGACAAATGGCACACTACGAAACCAGCACTGGCTGTCAAAGAGAGACATTACTACAAACGGTTGTAAAAACTGCACTATTTACTCCACAAACAATACACTCAATTTACACAACAAAGGTATTGATAATAATAATATACATGATCAACTATAAACACCTACCACCTCCCTCCCCCACCCCCTAGCTACTAATAGCATAATTTAAAAGTGTACACTGTGGGACGTCGCCGTCTTTTATCCAAAAGCGCCGTTCCGGTCCAAAGTTAGCCAAAGCTGGCGGTACGCCTCCACTCTGCAGCTCCCGTCGAAGAAGTCCTGTGCACTTTTCGAAAAAAATATATGTCACACTACCAGGAGCTTTTTGAAACGACCCGCGGAAAGCTAGGCCGTCGTGAACCTTGTGGCCATATCCGAACACCAACATTGCAACCCCTAGCACAACCCCGAAACGCTTTCACGGCCGGAACGAGCTCGCAATGAGTATGTACAGGACTTGATATGGTTTTGAGCGCGGCTTTTTCAGCGGTATACCCCCAACACATCTAAGAATGCGTTTATGCACACGCCTTGAGGGTTTCAAAATATGTACAAGTTCTGACGAACTACTCTGAATGATAGTATGAATGGGAAATATTACAAAGTCGTCTATCTATAACTGTTTAAAATGGCATTCTACGATCTGTTGGATGCCTCACCATGGTACTGAGGTAAAGTCTCGAAACTGCCATCATTTAATGCTTTAAGTAGAACACAACCTACGATAGGCGCGAGCATCGCCTCTCCTTCGCCTGGGTAACCATCGAGCCAAACCCAGCCAGAATGGCGGCAAACGGTGCTTCACCCAGAAAAAAATGGTTTCTTGATTTTTAATTTTCTTGGTTTTTGTAAGAAAAAGAATCTTTACTCAAGAAAAATTTCTTCATTTTGCAAAAACCAAGAAAAGTTAAATTTTTCTTGATCCAAGAAGTCATTTTATTGGGTGTGCTTGACTGTCAAAATGACACGTTACTTTGACTTTTTGGTTGCCCCGAAGTCTATCACAACTACTGTGTGTTATAGGGTCGTTTTACATCTGACACGAAAGGTATTACCTAAAGTCTATGGACATACCTTCATACTACCAGAAACGAATTACGCAAACAGACTAAGATGTGAGGTCTAGTCCAGAGGACATGAGGGAACTGAAAATACCTCTCTGGTCTCAGTAACCCAATAAGCTTCGTTTATTAGCACGCGCTCAGTGATGTTCTGCAAATAGAGGCAGCACAGGGTTATAACAAGGTCAGCCAGAGGGCCATCCATGGCACTTGTCAGTGAATGGACGATCCCTGCAGAGAAAACACAATTATTGCACTAGAACACGCACGCACTGCTCCCAACTAGTCCACTTGTTGCTGAAAGATAATTTTGCTCATTAAGTTCGCCAGGCGTCGCGTCGCCCAACGCTCTGGCACGTGTAGAAGAATAAAGTTCATTGTCGACGCCAATGCTTTTTGGACTTTGTAAAAAAAAAAGACCGACTTTTGGTCGTCAGAAACTCACCGCATTTTCGCGCAGGTCATAAACGGGCATCGACACTGACGTCATCAATTGGTAGTCGTTGTATTTCGAGTTCGGGTCCTAAAAGTAAAAAAAAAAAACATAGTTTGATTGAAGAATAAAAAAAGAAAGAAACAGTGATGGAGGGAGCAAAGAAAAGGACATAGCTGTCTTTCCGTTGGAAAACTTACGTTTCTGTTCTTCTTCCTGAAGTGGCGGGGATCGCGGTCCACCTTCATGAGGAAACCCTGCTTGTCCTTCCGGTAGTTCTGGAAGATCTTCTTCTGCTCCGAGCTCTCTCGCACCTCCCACAACCAGTCCGTCATCTTGGGGTCCTGCGTATCGAAGACAAAGAGGGTCACGACTAGTCTTCTCTCTCTCTCTCTCTCTCTCTCTCTCTCTCGCTCCCACACGCTGCCTAAGGACGGCCCCCGCTCTCTTCATTAGCACCACTGCATTGGCATGCAAGCAGACCGGCTATTACACTGCCCTAGACGCGCCCCAACGCCCCGCCCTTCATGCACCTTTCATAACACGCACACAAATACCCCCCCCCACACACACACACACACACACACGGAGGCACCGCACTGCAGATCCAGGAAGGCTTAGCAGCTGTCGCTCCGAACAGTGGCGCTGCAATGGAATATCGGAAATGGCCCACCGGAAGAGGAAAGGGAGGGGGAAAACGGGGGAAAGGGGGGGGGGAGGGGCGGCAACAACACGAAAGCACGCCACGATAGAAAAAGATTCCCTCTGTTTCAATTGGCCGATCCGTCTGATCCAGCCCCGCGCCGAGTGTTCCATGTTTTGATTTCATTTTCATCCCAGAGGCGACGACGCGGCTGCAGCAGACTGATTCCGAGGGTCGTTTTCATCGCTCTGTCTCTCTCACGCTCACGGTACGTCCCGTACATGTGCGAGAGAGACAGAGCGACGAAGACGGAAGCGTTCTGCAGCGTCAGTGCTTTTGGAAGGACCCTCGACTTGAAGCTCGAGGCGGTGAGGGCGGTGAGGCGGAGGCGCAAGGGGTGACGTCATCGGCGGGGCGCTCAAGGCACTCACCGTCACGTCGGCGTAGACGGGCGTCCAGATGATGGGGTGCTCCACGCGGCCCAGGACGAGCGGCCGAGCCATCACGGGCACGTAGTGCAGCACCTGCTCCCGCACCTCGGCCAGCGTGCTCAGGTGCACGTAGTACCCTGGGAGGGGGCAGAGTTTTAATCCTGGTCCCGCACTTTTCTCACTCAACTTACGTCTAAAAGTTCTGGGACTTTGATTTTGATTTCCACTCACCCCGGTTGGCGCACGCCATCCACTTGACCTCGCGCACGTCGGCTACCTCACGGCCGATGAGGTACGTGAAGACGCGCACCGGCATGAAGCCCTCGGGCTGCATGGACCGCCAGTTGTACTCCTCGAAGATCTCCTTGAAGTTGTAGGGCACGCCGTCGGTGATGAGCATGATGGCCTGGTTGCAGCACGCGCCCAGCCGCGCGCCTCGGTACTGTGGAAAGACACGTCATGAGACCGAAGATGGCAAATTTGGGCGGAGCGTTTCCGGAAAGCAGGATGTGCACGATGTGTACCATTTGCAAGATGTCGAACGCCCTGGTCAGCGCCAAGGAGAAGTTGGCGATGGAGTTGGTCTCCATGTCCTCCATGCCCATCTTGAGCTCCCGGATGTTGGCCAGGTTGGCCTGCACCAGGGTCTCCTTGAAGCAGGGCACCACCTCCATCACATCGTCGGCGAAGGTGAGGATGTTGACGAAGTCGTTGTTGCCCAGCGTGTCCAGGATGTTGTTGACGACGTGGCGCGCGATCTCACGCCGCATGCCCGTCATGGAGCCCGAGTTGTCCACCAGGATGAGGACGTCCTTGGGGCTGGCGGCCGCCTCGATGTACCAGGAGCGCGTCCGGCAGTCGTACAGGTCCACCGGGTCCTGCTTCCACTGCATGGCTGGCCAGCGGGGCAGGAACACGGCGGTTAAAAATAGCCGGCGCGCCCACTCTTCACACTTCCACTTCGAACCGCGGCCCGGCCCTTTCCTTTCATCTTTCTCCCGTTCCGTCTCTGTCGATCAGCTGGCGCTAGGTTGCGCTAGCTGCGCGAGCCGGCGCGACGCGCTTACCTGGGAACTGGCGCATGAAGCCAGACGAGCTGCCGAAGTACTGCCAGGACAGGAACGGGTCCCCGCGGTAGTTGTGGATGAAGATGCGGTCCAGGTCCTGGGACCACTTGATGGCGCGCATCACCTCGGGCGCTGCAAGCACGCGGCGCAGGCGGCGCGGTCAGAGACAGATAGACAGCGAGACAGAGGCAGGGAGGCAGATAGGCAGAGAGACAGAGACGCCAAGCGCCTGCAGCGTAGGCCGGCCCGCGCGACACACGAGTTCGCCGGGCGGGCCCGCCTCGCGGGCGCGCTGCTCCACGCTGCTCCAACTCGGCTCTGCTCTGCCACGCCGCGCCGCTTGCCGCGTGCGTCGCTTATCGCTCACCTCCGTCGTACACGTTGGTGGGCACGTGCACGGCGCTCAGCGACGTGTTGACGGGGATGTTGGAGAAGTGCTTGTTGGGCGTGAGCAGCATCTCCTGCGGCCGCTCCGAGAGGGACGGCGGCTCGCCGTAGAAGCCGTTGCCGTAGACGAAGCCGTTGCCGTTACCGTTCTCCGTCTCGCCGACGCTGCCGGGGTTCACCAGCTGCTTGGCGTTGAAGTAGGGGAAGTCGTTGACGACCTCGTCGGGCGCGGACATGGCCATCTCCTGGGCGGCGTCCATGATGCGCTGCGGGGAAAGCGTGTCGGACTCAGTGGAAATTGTAAAACCGGTATCGGCCGGTTTCATTGCTATTGACTTTCCGGCCGCGTCGGCGTTGATTACAGTTGAATTTTTAAGTGGGGCTGTGCTCGGGCTGTGCCGACATGGGATGATTCCCCTACGGGTAGTCGTCACGCACGATCTCGTGCACGGGCCCCCACCCCCAGCCACTGCGCGTGCGGTGTGCGGTACGCGTACGGCGGCAAAACCGGGAAACGCTTCGTCGATTCGATCTGTCGGCCTGCCTTGCAATTGCCTTGCGGTGCCTCGCTCTCACTGCGCTTACCTTGACGGCGCTGATCTTGAGGAGCATCATGTTCTCGATGTCCTGCGCGATCTCGTCCAACAGTTTCCCGCCCTCCCGCGGCTCCACGGTGGCTGCCTTGTAGCTCTGCGCGGGGAGAGAACGGCAAAGGGTTCATTTTGTTTCTGTCAACAAATGCGCCTCTGAATCGGACTTGCAAAAGGTCTGTACTCACCTCTTGGACCTCCTTCCGTCTCGTGACATGTTCTCCGAAGTTCCAGAGCTCAAGTCCAAGTTTTTCAGCCCAAGTTTGTACTCTGCAAAGGAAAGTCAGGGGGCGTAAGTCACCATGACGTCGGCCGAGCCGAGCGAGGTTAGGGCAAAGGTTTAAATTCATCGTCTCTCTGTTCTCGGCACCGGTAGACTGCGGAGCCTCATCAACGCGTATTTAGAAGGTTGTGCACCGTGCCTCCGTCGTGTTCACAAGAGCGTAAGCGGATGTTTGATAATCCATCTCTCCCTTTCATCTGTTCGACTCACTCACTCAGCAGCTATTTTTCACTCTTTGTTTTCGTGAGCCGTTTCGCACGGGAGTCCCGATGCCCCAACTTTGTGGCCCCCGCCGTGCGCTCAGTAAAGTAAGCATGTCCTTCCAACCTATCCCGCTGCTCGGGCCTTGCCTCGGACGAGGACGGCCCGGGGGCTGCGCGTGCTGCGCGTTCTCGGCGGTACTCACACGACGTTCCTGATGGACTCCTGGCGGTCCGCCGTCTCGGCATCGTACTTGATGAGGAGGACGAGGGAGGGCAGGAGGGCGAGGATGAGGAGCGTGAACGCGGCCGGCCAGGTAACCATGTCCCACCTGGCAGGCCCCTACTACTACCCGCCCACTGCCCTGGCTGCTGCCCGCCCGCTGCCCTAGCGGCGACGCGACGCGACACGACACGGCGACACGGGACGGACGCGTGACTCGGACACGCGGCGGACACGCAGAGTCAGAAAACGGCACGGTTCGCGAGCATTTCGGCCGGACGCGAGGCCAACGAAAACACGGTCATGGCGGAGCGGGCGGAGCACTCGTCGGGGCAGTCGGGCAGTGTCGGGGCTCTGGCTCCTCTGGCTGGGGCCTGCTGGGGCCGCTGGGGCTGGAGTACGGCAGTGCTGGCAGCGCTGGCAGTGCCACGGCAGTGCGGAGGAGCCATGCAGACTGCCCGCCCGCCCGCCCGCCCAGGATCGATAGTAGCCCTCCGCTAGAGCCCAGAGCCCACCGGGGCGGCCGGGGCCCTCTCCACCCCCAGCCCCAACCGCCACCAACCGCCTCGGCCTCCTTCGTGTCCGCCACCCCCCAGCCCCAGCCCGTCCCGTTGCCCCGCCGGCCCAGTCCCGCCGGCCAGCCCCGCAGCCCCGCAGCCCCAGCCCCGCCCCAGTCGGCCGCCGCGCGCGCCGCGCTGTGAGCGAGGAGTATCGACAATAGACGCCCCCTTCGAACCTGGCTGTCAATACTCCCCGCGGATGACGGAGAGGGCGTGTATTTTATGCAATGAAGTGGGAGTCAATTTTAAAAACTCTATAGTTTTCCTATGTTTTCTCGGCCAGTTTTGCATTTGCCGTGAAGGTAGACCACCCTATTGGCACGTCACATTTGGTGAATAATTTATAGAATAGTGTATACTCAAGCAAGTTATTTATTCTTTCAATTTTTTTCTTTTTCTTAAAAAAAAAGACAACAAAAAAGACAAGGTCAAACAGTCTGTTTGTTTCATTTTTAAGGGCTAACTTATGAACAAGTGCTACCACTACATTTGTTTCTGTACTGGTAACCCAAGTACAGGAGACGGAATGAAATCCAGGCCAGCTGGAGCTCAACTGGTGACATTATTTGGTATGAAAGAATTAAGAAGTTGTCTTTCTTTCAAGAACAAAAATGACAAATGATCCAAATTAACAAAGTTGGGTTGTGTTCCGGTTCCAAAAAGAATATGAAGCAGAATTTCATTATTAGTTGCTCTAAAGCTTTGTAAGAGAAAAAAAATTCCATGTTTTTCTAGTAAACAGGTAGTTGTATGTATAGCAGTAGCACACATCTGACATCATGAACATTCACTTACAACAATGAAAATTTTCTAAGGACCATCTATTTCTAGAAAGTCTCTGCCTTTTTTTGTTTTAATAGTTTACTCCTAAAATGATATATTTTAGTAAACCACACTAAATTGTGATTGCTTGACAGTTTTCTTAAACAGGCTCATTGTGTTAAAAATTTCATAATATTATATACCAATATTAAGAAAATTCCAGACTTCTTTACATAAGACGTGTTTCATTTCATTATTGATCAGTTGGATCATCAGGGCAAACTTACATAAGCTAAGCACAAATAAATTGTCCCCAAAATGCTTACAGTACCAGAGATGTTGGAAGGGTCAAAGAAGTGCATGGATGTAAAAGCAAACAGTTTCCAACCCACAATTCCACCCAACTATACATCAACAACTTATTTATTTTCAGAGGTAGGGCAAAACATAAAGGATGGATTTAAAAATCATGTCAAATCATTTTGGGGGTATACAGAGCGTAGTAGTTTGGATGTGTTGAGCCTGCCCTGGGGTGAGTTTTTCAACAAGAGGAGCCTGAGCAACTGTCCCTGATCCAGCCCTTGTTTGACACCCTGTACAACCTGCATGAGTGAAGGAAGGTAAGTTAGGATAAATGACTGACTTCACCAAGCTCAGGCCGTGGTGATGTAAATTAGACCCAGGAAGAACAAAAGGTAACAGTTTCAAAGTGACAACAAAAAATAATTTACATTGACATCAAAATGTCCTTTTGTGTCATTGTGACTTTGAATTGACTTTTTTTTCTCCCAGTAAACTTTGAAGTTGCAGTACTTTTCCAAACTCACCAAATAATTAAGGCCACAACAGTCGATATCGATATGACACTTTATGCAATGTGCTTTCAAAAGATAGTATATTCTGTGACAGGAGATGGTACACTTAAAGTTGAATTATCACAGCTAAACACGACTTTCATAAAAACACAGGAAATAATTCATACGGCCCAGTTTCAGGCTGACAATTAGAATCTGTGCATGGCAGAATACCTGGCTTATAATGACAGTCCTACAAGACTCTAAACTCAACAGTAAGCATATGCAGCCAGTATTCATAAGCTGCTAATGATTACAGATGAAGCTTAAAAAGAGTATGCACCAATAAATTAATCTTACGAAACACACAGAGAGTGGAGTCGTAAAACTTTACCTCAGAGGAAGCCTGTTTGATAATTACAGACAAAGTTACATTCATGTTTACAATGAGGCTACAGTAAATTTAAACGAAATACATGGATTAACATCACAAGCCATCTTGCAAACTGCAATTCCTAAATGATTACTGACAGAGAACTTAAATAACATGTCTTTGAGCACTTTAATTTATAAACTACTTATACAAAGAAGAGCTTTCCTTGAAGTCTAGTTATTTGCAAGGCTTGCAATGCAAAAATGCAACCATACCAATTACAGCACTGCCTACTATGATGGAACCGGACAGAGAGGCGACGATCCTGGTGAAGAACATACCCCATCATTCCAACAGATGGCAATGACCTCAGAGCAAAGTTTCAGGGGTATCAATTGCTCTAATAATAGCACAGCTTCATGAATTGACTCGGAATTTTAAAGAGAACGCATTGTCAAATGTGCATAAAAAATAAATTGAAAGTACTTATTCTAGCTGTTACTATTTTCTATGTTGTAAAAATCACATGATCACATGGGTCACATTTGTTGATATAGTTGCGAACACACTTGACAAACACTACTGTAAGGAATGAACAGGATGTTAACTTAAACACATGAGGACCTCAACAATAGTGACTTGAAACCAAAAACATAAACATAGAACTGAAATTCCGACATACATTTTATTTATTTTTATTATTATTCTATAATTATCTTGGCAAACTTTCCAAATGTTTTTCTTATCAAGTTTTCATCTATTTGTACAAAATGTACAATTTGAACTTTGGTAGACTTTGGTCTCACAATTCTGTAACACCACACTCAGTATCACAATGAAAAGCTTATTTCCAGTGCAAAACTGTACCACACACCATGAGCAAAAAAGATGCAAACTTTCAGCGAAATATGTACATCAAAGTATTCATTTCCTTTTGAAAAGTCTATAAAACATAAAAACAGATACATGGCTTCTTACCAAGCATAATTTTAATTTGGAGAAAACCAGTGCACTTAACTCATGCATACTGCAAAGGAAAGGTCTGCAAAGAAGCAACAGAAAGCAGGAAATAAGCAAGAAGTAAGATGAACAAATTAGGGAGAGGTGATTTCAAAGAAGATAAAAATAAAATGCAGAATGTATATAATTCAATTACACAACAAATAAACTGGGATGAGTTAAAATAATACACTGGTACAATACTAAAATACATGATGATGGCGATGATGACTAAATGAAAATGACTACATTGACTAGAAAAGGTATGTCACATATGAGAAATCCATATCACAAATAAATGTACAGATAAGCCTCTTGATGGAGGCCCCATTCACCCCTCTCACACACAGAACTCATACCAGGCAAAACAATCAATTACACCTTTTACATTGCAGTACAATAACAGTATGTATGCAGAATTGTTACCACTCCTCCACACAACTAATTCTTGATAATCAAGTAGGGATCTGAAAAAGGCCTGTCTTTCCACTACAAAGCAAAACTTGAAGAAACTCTGTTTTTAAAGTAAAAGGAGAGTGGTACAGATAAAAGTTTAATTAGAGGAAAAAAGAGCTAAGATGTACACAGTACATAATTGATTAAAATAAAATCAACTCCTACAGTTCAACAATTGAACTTACACATAATAATAAAACTACGTTACATGATAGTTCATACACAAATTAAAACAAAAAACAAATAAAGATCATTGTCAAAGTTAAAAAATTTGTAAGAAGTTCAATAAATTTCCTTTCAGTCTCAAAGGTATAGCAGACCATTGGAAAAGAATTTATAAACAAAGGACAAGAAAAGACTAGACTTACAGAGTACAAGTTCTCAATGCCGGTCAAAATTGATTCAGAACTGTTATGGTATGGTGCAACTGCACCACAGACTTTAACGCCATAGAATTTCCAAAACATACAAAAAAAGAAAAGGTAAAATTTGGTCAGCAGGAGAGAATGATTCTCTACCAAAACAGCCACAGTCCCTTGTAGGAATTGGATAAGTTTATAATGACTTGATTTACAAATATGACTAAAAAGATTATCTGAGTGGAGGATGGTTCTTTCTATTCCATTCTGAAGCATAAACATACTAACAAAGTATGCAAAATCATTCACATCACACTTATCTACCACTAGTTCATAAAATTACAATATTGCTACTGACGGATAAAAAAGTCAACTAGTTTAACAACTGCGACATTTTAAAGGAAACCTGAGAGTCAAAACAGTAGAATGTCTTAACAAAACATCCAGCATCACATTATCATCAATAAATTGTAGAAAAGCCTGGAAGGTTATTCTCAATAGAGTCAAATAACACAATGTAAATACAATACTACACCAAATTGTAGCTGTAGAAAATGTTGAAGTAAGAAAATTCTCAATATCAGCCCAGTTACAAACATTTAAGAGGAGTACTTAAAATATATGAGCATTCCCTATAGCAGTATTTATTCTAAGAGGAAGAAAGGATAACAATGTGTCTTAGGACACAGAAAGAACTGACTTAAAAATTCTAAGGTCTCTTCCCCACATGGTAACATACTGCAAACATCTTGAAACAATTACATAAAGACAACATTTATCCACTTTTACAAGGAGTTTATAAATATGATACAAACTTTCTATAATTTTGGTGAGCGGAAGTGACTATTGTCCTCATTGAGTGTACAAGAGACAGCTCAATTATATTTTTTTAGTGAGGGCTGCTTAACACAGAGGTAGAAATGGATAAGAAAGTCAGAACACATCCAACACATGATACTTCTTGGCAAAATTGACCTAGCTAATCTTGAATAGTATGCACATGCCTGTTCCCATTGCCATTTATGCAACAGAACTCACAAAAAGAGTCCCTGACTTGCATTTGTACAACTTAACAATTCCTGCAATTATATCAGTCATCTTCTTCTCCATTGTCATGAGAAAATTTGAGGAAGACTTGCTCCAGAGTTGTTTGACTGAAGCTGTATTCAATTATACTTAGATCTCGTTTTGCTAGGGGGAAAAAGGAGAGGACAAAATTAGTGAACAGCGCACAAAAGCTAATACAGGCAAGCAAACCTTTGCTACCACACTGCAGTAGACACTTACCTTTTTCAAGATTCCTAAAACATTGGGCAACAGATGAAACATCTTTTTGGGGAATTTCAAATACAAGTCTATCTGAGAAAGATTCAACTAACTTTGAATCTTTGAAAAGGTTTGATACATATGACAAAACCCCATCATGCCTCTCAGACACAGTTTTCACAGATGACATGTCCTTCAGCTTCATTTCCAGTGTGTACCCAGCACCATACAAATTTTTAAGATGCTGTGTTGGTCCAATACACCTTGAAAAAGCAGGGACATAATAATAATAATAAACAACAGTTAACATCAAAGAGATTGATTTAAGGGGAAAGAAACATAAGAGGAAGTATTATAAAAGCACAAACACTTACTTTAACTCCCCTTTCACCATAATTCCTACTCGTGAACACAAAGCATCTGCCTCCTCCATTGCATGTGTAGTGAGGATAGCCCCTCGTGTACCCTGAAGAAGAAAACAAACAATGATCTGGGGAACATTTTCAGCAATTGCTTGGACTCAGACATATGAATTTGAGTTGACTTTGGTATTGAAGAACTTGCATTGTACTTATTCTCTCTCACTAAAACCAACATACCTGGAAACTAGCTAGAATTGTATCCCAGAGGAACCTTTTGGATCGTGGATCCATACCAGTGGATGGTTCATCCATTAAAACTACAGCAGGGTTTCCAACCATGGACATGGCAAAACTCAACTTCCTTCGAGTTCCTCCAGAACACGTCGAAGCCCGTTTATTTGCATGTTCTTTCATTTGAAGGCCTGCCAGAAAAGCATCCGCTAATCTGAAAACAAAAGAGCCAATTCAGTAAAATAAAAAAATAAGCCATTTTACATGACCATCCCAAGTACTTACCTTGGAATATCCTTTGATGGAACTCCTCTGATAGCAGCATAAAGTTCCAGGTGTTCTCTGCAGCTGATTTTCTTCCACTGAGCATCATGCTGTGGGCAGTAGCCCAACTTTTGGAATGCTTGATTCATGTTGGTTGCAATGTCATATCCAGCAATTTGGACCTGAAGCAGACATAGGCGTCAGACAAATGTAAGGAGGAAAGAAAATGTTTCTTTTAACATTCCAGGTATTTGGGAAAACTTACTCTCCCTCTTGATGCTGCTTCTTCAGCAATGATTATCTTCATTGTAGTGGTCTTGCCTGCACCATTGTGCCCAAGGAGACCAAACACTTCTCCAGTGTCAATGGCTAAAGATAACTCTTTTAAAGCCAGTTTGTGCGTCTTTCCTTTCACAACACAACAATCACAACATTTACTTGTTTTGCGATCCTTGTCATATTCTTTCCTCAAGTTCTGGTTTTAGAGAAAGGAGGGGGAAACAAAGAAAAACATTAAAACATGAATGTTGGATAGTTGCCACTAGTCTTTTACAAGTTTAGAAGGTAGATCTTACCTGCACAATAACAACTGGTGGCTGGTCGGGAGGATCTACCATAAGACGTGAGACTTTCAACCGTTCGGCTCTGACATCATCATCACCAAAGTCACCACAGTCCAAACTTTCACCACCATCACATGCTCCAGCAGACACTCTGACTCCCTGTCATGACATAAGGAAAATTTCATTAAACCAACTGAAATTTCTCAACACATGGACATGGCATTATACAATAATGTACTTCAATTTACTCACCCTGAATATGTCTCTAAGTGAACTGCCCGTGCTTTTGAGGTCCACTATAAAAAGAATGATCGACCAAATTATCATAGACAAAATGCTCCCTGCAATGATGACTCCAATATCCCTGGTGCCATAATTGCTGAAAGGATTGCCCTCTCTCCTGCAGCGTGTGCTTTCCATGCAGATGAGGTAACGATCTATCATTTGCCACACAGACCCGAATGGCAGATACAGAGGATTTAGCAGCGAGTTCGTAATATGCAGAGCTTCTTTGACTTTATGAGCTGAAAAAGAGAAGGAACACACAGTAAATGGGCCGCAGATGAGCATAAAATAACATCATACTGCATTACCTATTAATTAAATACTCACATTTAACAAACACAATAGTGAAGTATGGAATGAGTCCTGGGAAAAGCAATACTCCAGGTAAAATAGAGGCAGCTGACTCAGTCTTATGAAAGCAATATGAGAATGTTGTTGCAACAATAATTGCAGATGGACAAAATAGAGACATCAGTATCCCAAATATTGTTACTGCAGGAATTGTATCCAACCAAGCTACACCACACAGATATGCCACCAGAACAAGTAACAAGAATACTAGCAGCAGTACAACAAACATAACCAGGAAAAATGATATAAAGTAAATGGGAAAAGCCAATCCATTCACACGCAATTGTGTTTTCGCTCGAATCTGGAACATAGACAAAATTTCACATATTATTAAGGCGGGTATAGTTAATATTACTGTCATGACCTGAATAGAGGGCTTTCAGACCATAACAAAAAACAATGAGTATGTTCAAACACTTTTAAAAAATCACTTACCTCTCTATCATATACCATGTCCACCCCTACAGTAGCAGCTACCATTATAAATGTAAAGCCCACACTGAAGGCGGTCAAAGCATAAGACAACACAGTACTGCTAGTATTTTGGCGGTCCAATGGATGTGACTTAGTGATTATGGGATGTGTTTTGCTGCCAATATCTCGACCCAGTTTATCTGTCATCACCATTCTGGAATATTGTGACAACAATTAGAGCACATTAAACAAAAGCACAACACAAAAAGAAGAACAATCAATCACCAATCAATAATCCAAAGTCCTACCTGTATATTGAATTACTAATAAGATTCATGACAATGGGTAGCGAGTGCTGGGCTGTATCATTATATCCAGCAACAACTTGAAGTGCGACAGGATTTTCTTGCTCATCACCCAATGACATTTTGAGCCTTAAGAGATGTGGGGATGTGAAATTTATCTGTGAAACATTTCCTGTATACAGATCAACAGACTCTGCTCCAGCCTCTTTCAAGCCACTAAGGAGCAGGTCAGTTTGAGGGCTCTCTCTTCCGGCAAAGTCAGAAGCAATGAGCGCAACTTTCATCGCAGCATCATAAGTTCCTGTAATAGGCAATCAAAACAAATTCAGAACTGGAAAAAGGTTTCGAGCTGCAAACAGGAAGAAACAATGCATCTTACCTCCATCCATACGCAGGGAAGGCATTTCTGGAGGGCGGTTGTGACCAGCTGATCGATACAGTAACAATGTAGACAAAAGTATTGGTACAACAATTAAGTTGACTAGCTTATATGTATCCCGTAAGAGACACCAAATACGAAGTTTGATCATTGCTAGTAGTCTTTGAGTGTTGTTGGGAGTCACTTCAATAGGCAATCGCAGAGGATGTTCGGTGGGAGACAAGGTGCCATCTGCAAGTCCAACAAAAAATAAATTGCTTCTCAGTAAGTTGTCCAAAAGAAAACTCTAGGACATTGAGCCTAGATTCTTTTACTAATATCTATGTTCCAATAACATTGCATCCCAGGGATACAATATCTTAAAAACTTCAAAAGCTCAACGACTGAGCATTGAACATTGAAACCATCAGAAAAGCTCAGGGCAAGAGAAGGGGTAGAAAACACCAGTGCAAACTGACGACCCAAGCAAGCTCCCAATATAAAGCCTACAATGAATGTTATTTAAACACATCAAGTGTGACAAGAGCATAATAAAGTCACACATGCAGTAATTTTCCACTCCTTCAAGATGTGCCGCACTCAGTGTGTTGAGACAAAAAAAAATTTAAAAAAATTTAACTCCAGACGGGGAAATTCTGATCAACTGTAGTAGGATGGCAAGATCTGCTGTAACGCAACTAACCTTCAACGAAAAATCCTGCTTGTTTACGATTGTCAGGAGTGGTAGGAGGAGCAGGTTCACTGGTAGTCTTTTCTAAACATTTTTTTGGTCTCACAGGTGGTGGGCCTATAACACAGTACAAAACAAAAAAAAAAAAAAAAAAAAGAAAGAAGAAAATGGTACATTCAAAAGAATCCCAAGACAGAAAAATGACCAGTAAATGGACAGGTATCAAAAATTTAAACAACGGCAGTGAGACAACTAGTTCACTTTAAATCAAATGAGCACCATACTTCTAGAGAACAAAGGCATAAAAAAAGTAAAAAAAAGGAATGCAATACATTCCATGTGCGCTAATAATATGTTATCCAATGCATGACTTTTTTTTAATTGTTAAGAAAGCTTAATACTATTGTACCATCCTTCTCATAGAAATCAAGCAATTTCCTTGATAATTAAATCTAATTATTGATGCTGCATTACAGAATGCAAGATAAATAAATTACCCAAGCTACTAGTGGAATATTACAGGGAGGGCTTATGCTAGTCTAACTACAGTGCATACAGTGTGTGAAGTGATGTAATGGAGGTTTGTTACACCTCTTGTGAACAAATCTGAGCATTAGCCATAAGTAAGGAGTCAGTTTGTCAGAGTTGTAGGCAACACCAAGAAACACACACAGTGACACAAATCAGAATTGCCACGCTAGGAGTAGATACAAAGCTTTCAACACAAACAATATATTTATTTTCTTCCAAAATGCAGCATTTGCTCACCTTCGCAACTGCTGAGAGGGAGATAGGTAGAGGCTTGGGATAGATTTGAGACTTCACCATTTTGCTTTGAAGCATCAAATGCAGCTGAAATTAAGATTGCAGATCATAAATTTGAAAAAAAAAAAAAGCCAAAGAAAAATGTGGAACAGGTAAGTGAAGTTTCTGCTGCTATGTTAGGCTTCCACTAAGTAACAGCATGCAACTTGCATTTATAGGCAGGAAAAGATGCCAAAAGAAAATTTACAGAGAAATGAAACCATTTCCATAGGGATAGAAATCACACAAGCCTTTCCCGAGGCTCTTCCAAGGTCAGAAATACCATTGCATCATCACCCAGGGGATTGAAACTTGTTTCCAGGAAAGATGCTACCAGTGCATTTCTACAGTGCTTCAATCAAACAAAGCTTTCATCCAAAAGTCGAGTGGTAACTAAGCAAATTGCACTGGTTCATCTGTGGGTGTAAGTACAGAAGACAAGACAATACCTGTATTTATTTCAGAATCTGTTGTGACAGTGCTAGCAGCAGCTTCATTCTGAAGGCTATGATAGGAAGTGCTTTTGGATGGAATGGAAAGAGACCGACTCATAGCTCGATTCCTTAGCATGCTTCTTGACAGGTTCTCCATAACTGTATTTGTTTCTTGTTCATCTTCATCTCTCTCAAGATGTAGAAATACCTGCATTATAACAAAACCATCAGTTAATGCATCAATACACCTGAAAGGACATCAAAGATGAAAGGTGTCACAAACCTCCTCCAGGGTAGTCATTGCTACTCCATAACTTGTGATACCAAGGCCTCGCTTGGAATTTACTTCTCGTTCAATGGCGGCAAACAAATCTGGGAAGCTGTTGACGGCATTATGAGGTAGAATAAAGGACAACTCTCTACCATGGCGTCTGGCTCGTTCTGACTTGTGGACATATCGCTGAACAAGCTGAGCTATTGCAGTTTCATGTGCATCAGAGCCCAGTACCAACCTGAAAACAATGACACAGTTACAATTTAAATTTCGGAAAGCAATCTAAATTTCATATATTTCTGGAATATTTATCAGGTCACAGACAGTATTTTTTGGTAGAAAAGGGAACACAATCCTAATAGTTCACACCATAAGCAGACAAAGCAGAAGAAGTGACATCACTTACGTAAGATGATAACCAATTCCAAATTTATTTTTGAGAAACAGAGATGAACCACAACACCTGATTCGACCTTTAGAAATAACAGCCTTTCTTTCAGCAAGAATATCAGCTTCATCCATGAAGTGAGTGGTAAGAAGTATAACCTGAAACAAAGATTTCCGTTTGTGATATTCACAAACCACATTCCTAAACCACACGAGCTAGAACCAAGTTACCTTGCCGGCTTTTCTGCTTTGAAGCACGGACCATATGTGCCTTCTGGAAATTGGGTCCACTCCAGCAGATGGCTCATCCAAAACAATAATCTAAAGAGCATAAAAAAAAACACAGAATCTTACGAACAGTTACCAAATTTCAACAGGTGCAATGGCAAATCACAGGTCGGTGTGTACCTTTGGATCCCCAATAATAGCAATTCCTATACACAGTTTTCGTTTCTGGCCCCCACTTAGATTAGCAGAAACAAAGTCAGCTTTCTCCGTTAGATCTAAGTCTGCAAGTGTACGTTCAATTTCATAGTCCAACTTAGAAGCAGGTATGCCCTTAAATGTCAAAACAACAGAAATTTGTCAATACCACACTGATACATTTTTCCAAACGGGTGTAAAAAAAAGTTCAAAGGGTTTTATACATACTCGCACTGTGCCGTAAAAGTGTAAATGTTCTCTTGCAGTAAGTGTTTTGAAGAGTATGTCAAACTGTGGGCACACTCCTGTCATGCGGCGTACAACTTGCATATCATTTGCATTTCTGAATGAGAAAGACACAAGAAATTGCTACCACAATCAGTAAATAGAGTAAAGGACAAAGATAATAATTATCAAAAGCAAACCTTATATCATATCCATAAATGTAAGCAGTGCCAGAAGTGGGAGCAGTGCAGCCAAGAAGAATGTTGAAGAGTGTGGTTTTTCCTGCTCCATTGTGGCCTAATATGGCTGTTATTTGGCCCTCATAGATAGTTAAGTTGATACCTGAGTACAAAAAGATAAGATATATGGATTAGTACACTTCTGTAAATTAATTTCCACATTTGCTCTAATATAGATCAAGTGCAAAAGTAGTTTACATACCATTCACAGCTTTCACACCAGGCTGGAAGCAGGTTTTGAATGTCTTGTGGAGATCCTCGATTCGGATTGCCTCTCGGCCCTTGAGCTCTGATGGGACAGGCTCGATGTCTCCACTTTCTGATTCCTCTGTTGTAAGATAAGTGAAAGGCTCCCCATTTGCTGTAGCAGTGGCCTGAAAGAGAGGGTTACACATAAATAATAAAAATTGGGCAGAAATCTCGTTCTTCAGTTCATATTCAGAGATATGAAATATTAATGAACGAACAATCCTTATACAGGAAGGGTGAAACTTACCCTATCTGAATGTTTATTACACCAAAACATGGGATTCAGGCAGAACAGAGGAGATCTCCTTATAGAGTGATCATCTGTTAGCAACAAGGAAAGAGAGAAAAGGGACACACTGGGTTAGTCAATTGTTACAGAGATAGCAGTCATTTGCAGACAAGGAAAAGGCAAGGACTCTTAATCCTTGGGAAAAGACAAAATTTTGGAAGTATCATTTCAAACTCAGTATAATGAGTGTTCTACATTAGCTGGTGTAATCCTTCCATTTTCACATTATAAGGCATAGTGCTCAAGTAGCACACACTCCAATTCAAACACATTTGTGCTTTCCATGACTTACTTGGAAGAACGTTGTCCAAATAATAAGCTAAGAGCCCATACAAAAGGATGTCAACAAATTGAAGCACAAAATATGCTCCAGCTGTAGGCTGTGGACCGAGCCACATGGTGGACCAAGTGAGACCCTGCCCAGACAGCTCCATGGCGATAGCCTGAACAGAATAAATAAAGTGACAATGCATTAGGTGCACATATGGCCAGAATCCGACCGTCAGTCAGTCACTTGTCTTAGCTTCCCATGTCCAATATTTGACATGATGATCAACTGAAATTTGAACCACTTACCAAGTAGAGTACCTTGGAGAAAGCTAAAGGACTGAGGAGTCCCAAAAAATATTTGCCTACAGTAGAGTTGATATCCAGTCCAGTTTCAATTAAGAAGACAAGACTAAGCAGTGTCGTCACAAAGGATGCTAGAAGTCCGGCGGTCTGAAGGGGGAAAGAAAATACATTGAAGGACACAAATATAAAAGATATACTACCATAATTTTAAAAAATGATAGTGTGTTGTTATCAATTTCATCTTTGTCTTTGCTATTATTACCCTGGCATTGTTGAAGAATGTACTCAGCACAAAGGTGATCATTATAGAGCTGCAGCCATATGCAGTGACATTCAGGAAAAGCAAAATGTAACTTGTTCTGGGGAAGATATCCGATAGATATAGGAGGAATACCACAACCAAAGCCAGAGAAGCTACCAGGACTGTATAAATCAGGAACCAAGAAAACCTGAAATAGGAAAGAACATCACACATTTTACACATTAGAACTACATATGTATGTACTGAACCTTACTTGATTTGAATTGAGAGAGAATGCCTACCAGTAAGCTGAATCTTTCACTCCCATAGTTTTCATAGCTGCTAGAGAATGGTTTTCTTTCTCACTCACAATCAAAACAATCAGGTAGGTAGTGTATTGCGACATGGCCATTACGATAAGGACAGGAACAAGAATGAGAAGAATCAAATCCTTCAAAGAAGCAGCCTCTGTAATTTATTTGAAAAAGAGAGAAGAACATAAGATAAGGAAAGTTTCAGACAAGATAAAAGTTCCTGAACAAAAAAATTCAAGAACAAGATAATATGACATACCATCTAATGGGTTTCTTTTAGTTTCCTTCACACTTCTTGGTAATAACTCCAGTGCTATGCCCGGTATTGATAGGTCATTAACACCAGAGTCAAGCTGGTGGGACAAAAAGCCATAAGTGAACATGGAATTTAAAACAACAAAACAACCACAAACAGCAAATGTTACGATTTTAAAGGTAATGTGTCAACCTTACCTTGATTTTGGTAAAATCTACCAAGGTTTGTAATGCTAGGAACCCAGAGAGATAATATTGCTGCACTGGACATGTTTCTCCAGGATCTGGAAATATACCACTCCACTGTCTTTTAATAGGCCCTTGACCAAGACATGAGTCTGAATCAGAATACATGTCAGTAGTTGGTGGAGTTACTGCAAATTGTGGGTTTCCTCGTATTTCATAGCTAAAAAAAATAAAAATAGAAAATTGTTTTGAAACAATGTTTAAGATACCGCATTCATTTATCATGAAGAATGCTGTCCAAATCCTTACTTTAATATGCTGGATATCGGTTGGTCATCTTCAAACACTAAACCCAACTGAAATGACTGAGGTTCCTTCCAGTAAGAATCTGACAGCTCATCTATATTATTGAACATTAGAAAGTTGATGGGTGTACGAGGCCGGGGGTCAGCCCCATCTTGTTCAGTCTGTAGTTTCATGTACATATCATTCACAGCCTTCAAAAAATCCTATAAAAAAATTGTTTTAAAAGAATTTTGAATTACAATGAATTTTAAGTCAAGAAAATAACCACTATGGTGTGTGGTCATGGAGTTCTCACTTGAGTTTCTGTAGAATTTGGAGCCACTGCTATCGTATGGTTTCGGATAAGTAAAAATCTGTCAAATACTCGAAACGTTTCTAAAATGCCAGGGTGTGGAAGTATTGATGGTAGCTCGTACATATTGATATATACAAAGATGATTACTGGAACCACCAGGTAAATAAGTGGGGTAAACAGTTCCTGTAAAATATAACATTCTCTTAGTAAATAAACGGTGTCCCACAGATTTGAGGCCCATCATCAATTTTCAAGACTAAAATAAACCCACTATCATAAATGTTCTTCTGGCCCTGATTTTGATCAGGAAGTTCCTGACCAACAGGGCCTTTGACTGAGAGAAGCATGTTCCATCCATTGATTCTTGGTGGGGGATAGACACACAGACACTCCTCCTCCTGGCTGAAACAAGCAACAACTAGAATCAATTCTTGAACAATTCGGGAATCAATAGTATTCACATTGTGTTCTTCACTCAGAAATTAAACAAAAAAAAAACAAAAAAAAACATGTTTTTTCACGGAGGAAATGTCCAAAGCATGCAACATGTAAAAATCTCCAGAAAAATAGTGGGATTTAAGACTAGAAAATCAAACAAAACTTTCAACGACAAAAAATAGTTTCAAGCATTTGTGAAGGGATGCAAGCCAAAGCAATGAGCCGTTTCCAAAAAAGTGATGAGTGAGACGGATAAAAGTTATATATCGTGGTTAAGAACATAACTTTAGTTACCAATGCAATAAAAATATAAAACTGAATTGATTAATTAAATCACAAATACTAAACATCAGACACATTCAATCGAGAGTAAAAACATGTCCGAGAGGTTTCAGTATAGAAAATTAAGGTTGGCGCAAGGTTCAGAAGATGTTCAATAACAAAACTACGGAAGGCTAGAGCAAAACAAACGCAAACATTGGCGTTGGGCGTCACTGCCAATTCTTTTGGAAGGTTATGGGCGACAGATAAGAGAACTCTACCGATCCTTGACTATTTTAAAACGTTACATTTACAGTCGCGGCACAGTTGAGAGAGAATGATAAGCTTCACTGTTTGTAATTGAGTTATGACGGTAATTTTCACTGTTTTGAATGGCTTCTCTGCAGCGCAACCTTGAATTTGACAGATACGCCTAGCAGACTACGAATCGGCTCACCCCGATCCCATTCAAACATTACCTCAGCGCGGGCGAGGCGATGGATTAAACTTGGTTCGCACTCTCATCACAACGGTTTGGAAACCCAGGGGAACTCTAACACAAACTCATCATTGATCTTTGCTCCCTAAATCCGCGAAAAAAGCTGACGGACTTAAATGCCCAAAGCGTTAAAGCACAGCCAGACAAAGACAAGCGGAGAACCAGGCAGTCGCAAACAGCAAGGCTACGTCCAGGATGGGCAACTTGACGGTTCTAGAGCGCCACGGCGTGGACGCTCGCCAAAACGGGAAAAGCGCTGACGGTGTCTGATATTCGCGGGGAAGCCCGATTCGTCGCCGTCACAGCGGTGTGCCAGGTCGGCCAGGCGTTGGCCACGGGTGTCGCGCCGCTGGGGTTTCACTTTCGGCATTGGGCGGGTGGCAACCATGGCCGCGGGGCCTAGCAGACGACGGACATGCGCTGCGGCCGCTATGGCGCGAACGGCGGCTGCGTCCGGGGAAGTCTGGGAAGTCAGGGAAGGCGCCACCCGTCCCCTCCCCGACCCGGTCCCGGTGGTCCCGGTAGGGCGGCGCACGGCGCGCACGGCGGGTGCGACAGAGACGCGACGCGCGGCGCGCGCCCGGATGCTGGCGGTCCGAACTTCCGAACGCGGTCCGGATCCGCCCCCGAGCCTCGGCCGTGGGGTCTGTGGGGCTCACACGCCCCGTGCGCCCCGGCTCGGCTCCGCGCGCACGGCTCGGCTCGGACCGGCTCGGCTCGGCTCGTCACCACAGCCTGCGGCTCGCGGCGTGTCGGCGCTGGGGTGTGCTGGGGTGCTGCTTGGGCCGCCCGTGCCGCCCCCGGACCAGCGGCCGGCAGCGCGGCAAGGCTGGCAATGGCAAGGCTAGCCTGGCGAGCGCGGTAACTAAGGGGCTAAACTACTGCTACTCGAACCGTCCCGAAAGGTTCCCTCAACGACTATCGACGAGCAGCGGAGCAGCACGCCGCGACGGGCGTGACATGAATGGCAGGCGTGTTCCGTATCGATTCTTCCACGTCGCGTTTTAAACTTGCCGGCGGGGAATTCGTCCGCCGTCCTCCCACATGTCACAGTGTCGCAGCAGCGCCGTCTTCATCTAAGGCTTCATCACTACAGCAGTACACTGAACCTACGAAAAATGAAAATGGTCGAGGAAAAAATTGGCTTTCGCACCCATGTCCATGCATTGTATGCGGAAGCGGATCGGGGTGGCCTTCGGCAAGGCCTTCGGCAAGGCCTTCGGCAAGGCCTTCGGCTTCGGCCTCGGCTTCGGGTGCCTTCGGGGGGCGCTGCGAGCCTCGCGGCGTTCGCGGCGTTCGCGGCCCTCGGGGTGGCGGGCCTTGGCGGGCCGAGTGGGCTAGCCCAAGGCTGCGGGGGCCGCGGGGGCTGCGGGGGCCGGCTCGGGGGGAGGGCCGAGGCTGCCGAGGCTGCCGAGGCCAGTGCCAGGGGCTGGAAGACTGGAAGGCTGGGAGGGTGCTCGGCACAGCGCGGCGCAGCGGGTGAAATGCGGTGCTCAAATGGCGACGACGGCACAGCCTGTGGCGGCCTGTGGCACAGCGGCAGCGATGAAGGATGAGGGGCCAGGCGCGAACAGGCGCGAAGAATGGGCAGTCAGGCGGCGCGGGCGGCGCCAAGACTCACTTCACTGGTGTGTCCTGTCCGGGGCCATCAAGCCCCAGAGGGGGCCACTGCTATGCACTCGCCGGACGGTAACGCGACGTGCTCGGAGGAGACGGAGACACACGGGGCATTTCTCTGGAGGTTATTCCCCGAGACTCGGGGAGGGACCGACGGGCACGCCGCCGTCGCACCGCGCGACGGACGGGGCGGGCCGGAGCGGGGTGGCAGCACCGTTCGCGAAACTGCGCGAGAGAGTGAGAGAGACGGACGACGCGCGGGGCCCGCCGTGGAGGCCCGCCGTGGAGGCCCGCCGCGGACGCGAATCGACTAGCAAAGCTGGGCTGCGCCTTTACGCCCTCGGTTGGCTAGCAGGCTGGCAGGGCAGCGGGCTACTGCGGACCGTCGACCGTCGGGGCCCGTCGCCCGTCGGTCGGGACTGTACTCGGCTCGGCTCGGCTCGGCCTCGCGGTGCCTCGCGCTCGGCGTTCGGTTCGGCGCGGTTCGGGACGCTCGGCGCTCAGCCTGCTCGCTGCGACAAGCCGCGTGCCACCCCGCCCCCGCCCCCCTACCGCCCCCTGCAGCCCCCTGCCCCTTCGCCGGGGACACGGAGGGATCGACGCGCGAGTAAGGCACCACGTTGCACGCCCCGCCAGCCCCGCCAGCCCCGCCAGCCGCGCGGCGCATGCGCGGGGCGGGGCAGGGCGGCCACCCCCTGCTGGCTGTGCTGGCGGTGCTGGCCGGTGCTGCCCGGTGGGCCAGGCCCTCCTGGCAGCGCGGCAGCGCCTGCCCCTGGCCGCACGGCGAAGGGTTGAGTCGTTGTTTCCCGCAGCCAGACACGCGCGGAAGGGGGAAAGGGGAGGAAACTAGGAAGTGGAGGGGGAGGCGGGGCAAAGCCCCAACAACTTGGTCACGGGGTAAAGCGGCTTCTCTCCAGGCCAGCGACGCCTCGGTCCCTCCCCCTCCCCCTCCCCCTCGCGCGAGGCCCTTCCCGTCTCGGGGGTCAACGGAATGTGGCGTGTTGCAGGAGCTTGACAATCAATAATGGAGTAAAGCAGATGCGGGAGGCACGTCGTTAAAAGTTTGAAATACGCACCTGCCGCGCGCCGCGCCGCGCCGCGCACCCCCTGCAGCGCGTCGGCGTCAGGGCGTCAGGGCGTCGGACGGCCGTGACGGGGTCGGGGACCAGGAAGCGGAGCGGCGCGGTGCCGTTGCCCCCAACGGGCCCAACCATGCTTACCCCGGCCGGCACACGTCGCACACCGGCCGGTGACAGCAGACTCATTTTGTGAGTCCTTTTCGTCGCTCTGTCTCTCTCGCACAGGTTCGGGATACCCCAGGAGTGCGAGAGAGACAGAGTGACGTCTGCAGGGCGATTGCTCGTCACGGCAAAGCGACACGTACTCACACATACACACACAGACGACAATGTTAACGTGATTTTCCAAACCGTGCATGGCCAAGGACACCGTCGCTCCTCGTCGGCGCGCCCGTCGCCGGCCCCACCAGTCCATTGTCCTTGCTGCACCACGAGCAGTTGGTGTGGCCGTGTAGTGGGAGTGACTCGGAGTGACACGAGCAGGCCGGCGGTGAAGTGCGGCCCTGCGGCCCGACCGGGCCCGACGCGCTGGCGGCGTGCTGGCAGTGCTGGCAGTGCTGGCGGCGGGCCTAGCCTGGCCTGGCCGGCCGGCCCGGGGCCTGTCTGCAGCAAATGGTCCAAACGGCCCCCAGCATTGCCACCGAAAGTGATAAGCGACCGCAAAAGAGGGGGGGGGGGCACCAGGCTGGATGTCGCGCATGGGAGCGAGCAAGGGCTTACCCGGCGGTCATGCATGTTTACCATTCGGCCGCGCGTCGCCGCGCCGCCGCGTCGCCCGCCGATCTGCGGATTCAGCTGTAGCCGCGCGACCCATATTCCCCTCGTTTTCATACACCCCGTAGGCGCACCGTGCTACGCGCGGTTTTCTGGCCCACTGTGCAGCGCCGAGCGCGGCGAAGCAGCCAAGCACCCCGCACCGCATCGGCAGCGCGAAAAAGCGCGAAAAAGACGCGCCGCCCTCAAAGCACACCGCGCCCTGATACACGTACTCCGGGGAGGCGACGTCGACACGGCTTTTGCCTCGGACGCGCCATTGTGAGGCTGCTACGCTGTCTCTCTCGCACCGCGACGGAGCGGCCCCCCGGGCCCGCGAGTGCGAGAGAGACAGCCTGCGGCCCTGCATTCTGTGCACGGGATGAATAGGGATCGAGGTAAGAGGGGCGTGGAGAAGGGGAGGGAGGCGAATCGGAGGCAAGGGGCAGCAGGAGCAGGCAGCAGTGCCTCGGCTTTCTTCGGCTCTCCTTTCTCGTGCCCTCGTTGGTTACTCCGTTTAATGACTCGTCCTCCCTGCGCAGCCCCTGCAGCCTTGCCTGGCCTTGCCCGGCAGACCGATTCTCCGTCTCTCTCGCACCTATACGGGACGTCCCATGAGTGCGAGAGAGACAGAGCGACGAAAACGAATCTCGGAAACGGAACGGAGAGCAGGGTGGCCGCACAGCACATCACTGATGAAGAGTCCGCAGAGTCAGCGCGCCAGGCTGCGCCGGGCAGGCCGAGGCAGGCAGCAGGTTGGATCCACTTCGCCCAAGTGTATGGAGCCGAAGCAGCAGGCCCCGTCCCGTCCGCCCAGGGTTCCGAGGAGTCGTTTCGTCGCTCTGTCTCTCGCAGGGCGCCCCGCAGGGCCCCGCAGGGGTGCGAGAGAGACAGAGCGGCTCAGCTAGTGTGCCCGTGTCGTGCACGGCCAAGGCATGGGCCAAGGCATGGGCCAAGGCATGGGCCAAGGCATGGGCCAAGGCATGGGCCAAGGCATGGGCCAAGGCATGGGCCAAGGCATGGGCCAAGGCATGGGCCAAGGCATGGGCCAAGGCATGGGCCAAGGCATGGGCCAAGGCTTGGGCCAAGGCCCCGCCGCGAGGCCGTGCCAGGCCGCCAGGCCGCCAGGTGTGTTCGCGGCGTCCGCCTCTGGCAACGCCGGCAACGTGCTCGAGGCAGTGCGGTGTTTAATTTTCCGCGATAAGGTAATCTTCGGTTTGCGTTCTTTGTTTGCGGGATGTTCTAGGCGAGCCCGGCGCCGCGGCTCCACAAAGGACTCAAAGGAGGCGCTCCTTTTGGTCGGTGTGCCCAGTGTGCCAGTGTGCCTTTTGGACTCGCGGCTGCGAGTTTCGGCGCGGCCTATCCGACCGGAAAGGGAAAGAAGAAAAAGTACAGTCGGCGAGGAGTGTTGCTGTATAGCTGCCGAACACAGCGCACACGGGATCCGCAGCAGCAACACTAACAAAAACACAAACATTTCATGTTCATCTTTCACGACGTCGAGGTGATTCTATATTTGTTCCAGCGCAACGGCGCGCGAGCCGAGGCGAAGGCGAAGGCAGGAGCAGCCTGAACTGCCGGCACACTAGCGCCATGCTCGCGCCGCGGATCCAGCTGATGCTCTGTGACGTTTTGACGGGTCGACGTGCAGCAGACAGCGCGCTGGGATCAAGGGAAAGTGCCGGGGGGGGGGGGGCCTCCCTGCTGCTGGTGACGTTCGTGACGTTGTGCAGGACTTTGGTGCACAGTGCGGCACACTGAGCGCAGAACCCACGTCGCCCTGTCGCTCTCTCGCACCGCCAAGGCACGCCCCGCGAGTGTGTGTGCGTGCGAGAGAGACAGACGAGGTCCAGAGT